GGCATGAAAAAAGTTTTATACATGTTATGGTTAGCCTTAAAATATTCTAGCCAGATCGGTTTCCGTTTTTTCTTTGAAAGCAGCCCAAGTGCCACTTTTGTAAACAATAACGGAGTCATCCGCAAAACATAATGAAATAAATTAAATAATACTCGTGAGATTTCAAACAATCATTAATTAATTAACACCGTTACATTTCCGTATAAATAATGCAAATAAACCTTTCCAAAATTTGGAGAAAACATTTGTTTGGTTATTATCAAACAAATATTTTTGTAAAATAACTCCAATTCTTTTTTTGTGATAAAATGCATCAGTCATTTAAAATTTTACGGTGAAAGTGCTTTTAAATGGACCATTCATTTCCTGAGTGGTTAGTGATTTGGTTTATTCGCCATTAATTTTTACTGACAATTACAGATTCGCATTTCCTTACGGAACTGTGATGAAGGCGGTTATTTACAAACCCAAAACAGGAAGAGTATAACGTATTTTTACGATGTGCCATTGTTGTATATAACCTTTAAGTACGTACGCGTGTGTGAACCAAGAAAGAATTATGTCTTCCTTTTAACTGTTGTGATAGGAATAACAATACGAAAACATATAACGCAGGTGCACAAATACTGCTCGGTTTAAATGGTTCGTCCATTTTTCGCGGTGGGTTAAAATATACTTATTATATACAAATATAGTACGATGTTTCCACTGGTTTTTATTGGATGCGACACGCAGAACATAGTGAAAATTTAGCTCGTGTATTTATTTACGCTCAAACTCATTCTGTTGTAGCGGCGGCATTTTAATAACATCTGTCGCTCTAGGGACCCTTCTCTTTGCATTTCTGGAAATTACCCCAGACTAGGAAGTTCGTATTAAAACTCAATGCCGTAAGTGCAATAAAATTTATTAATAATTTGACTTTAACGATCAAACCACGCGTATCGTGCGGTTGCTTTTGTTATGTATCCTTGAACTTCCAAATTTGTTTAAAGTATTCTAATAGAATCCAAGTTACAAGTGTCTGTAGTCTTTATTTATAATGGTACAGTATTTTTAACTTTAGTCAAAAAAATGTAAAAAATTATTCTAATATAAAACAAAAATTTAAATGGTTCTTTAAATGTCTATAAGGTTGACGGCACGACTGCAACAGATGCTAATAATAATCTTTATTTACAATAGGAGGTGATTTGTTTACGATTGTTGGCATATTTGCGGTTAACCGCAGCGTTAGATTGTTTTATATAAAACCGACGATCTCATTGAGATTGAAATGATTTTTATCGGGGGTTCATTCTGAGCGTATTGGAAGTACGCAAAGTTTGACGTTTGCGCTTCTGTAAGAATGTGCATAAAAATATTTGCACAATTACAAAGAACGTCTGTGCTGACGTATGCCTATGATAATTTGATTGATTCCTATCGATCGATGTTTTGCATATAAATTAATACGACTTTTATTAATATATAGCGCAAGCCGGTAAGCATTGTCTGCCATAATAGAAATACGCGTGTCTCGGATTCCTCATTACTATTTAAAATGGCCATGGAGTACGGAAATAAAAAAAACATACCGCAGCGAATTAAATTACAATTTCAATTTTAATTGATGAAAAGTCTTTACTCATGCGTATTTGCACTTGAGATTTATCTGTTTCTAAATTTAAAACTGAATGAAAATTGTTTTTAAACTTCCGCCCCACTAATTCGCGATAATCTCAAATTTGTTGGTATTTTGACCGGAAGTTTTCTAATTTAAAATCAATTTGAGTGCAATTGCTTCCAGCAAGTACAATGTTTATTTGATTTTTAAAATGTCTGCGACGTTTGCGGTACCTCCATAGTATTCGCCATTGTGGAGGGGTTAAGGGGTTTAACTTTATAGTCGAATTTGCCTTACTTTGGCCATTTTACGACTGGTAAACTTAATAAAGAACCGTTCTGTCGTTGTTTTACTTTGCTGCCGTATTTGATTGTTAAATGCTTAATTGCGGACTCGAATGTCTTTAATTTCATTATATTTAGTTAGTTGGTAACGGTTTAACAGGAATTTCAATGTACGTCACACTTTGAACACATTAAAAGTTTTCGTTTAGACCTAAATCGTCGAGAGACGCCAGAAAGCACATTATTCGGGCGTAGGAAATGGGTAGATGTGCGGCCTGATAATTAACCAAGTAAAAACGAAGCCGTTCTCTAAATTTAAACCCAAAATATTCCGTCCAATTTGCATCCAATCGAAACGAATTGATAGTTACAGACAATTAGATTATATTTATACATTTTTTAATTGACGCGTAGAAGAGAACAAAAATTGTGGAGAGGAAATTTTTTATATAAAACGTCATCATTTTATTAAATATTTTTAATATAATTTCTATCAGAATAGGAACAAGCAAATCAGGCTTGTATGAAATTTCAAGTGCAGTTAATCATCTGGGAGGAAAGAATTTGCGTTGTAGGAGAACAAAAAGATTTAGGAATAATCATTGTCGAATATTTTAATTGCAGAGCTATTTCTAAAGCCCTACTATGCCGAGGGCAATAAAACATTGGGAACGGTACAGAGAAGGGCGATTAAGCTACCTCCGTCATTAAAAGACGCCCTGCGAAACTATACTTCAAAACTAAACTTACCCACCCTGTACCGAAGGTGACTAAGTGGAGATTTAATTGAGGTATACAAAAATATTAGTGGCCATTACAAACGCAATCTTGCGTCAAGCGTATTACAGTCTTCTTCAGTTCCGACGCCATAACAGAAAGCTGTCTGAAGGGAAATGTGTCAAACCACTATCAAGGATTTTTTTCTCTAATAAAATGGTTTATAACATATTTGATCAGGAAATGAATGTTTGGAACAAATTATTTATCCACTATTTTTTGTAAATAAATAGAACTCATTGTGCTAAAAATTGTGACTGTGATAACATGCTTACACAACAAGAAATCTACTTTTATTTATTTTACTTTAATTACTCTGATAAAAAAATGAGGTGTCTGGTTAATTTAATTTAACGATAATAAGAGATAAGAGAAGAGATAATAAGAGACTTTGTGCAGTATTATTCGACTTAACTAAATTGTTTGACACCATTAACCCAAATAGGTAAGTGAAAAATTAAAAACATTAAATAAATAAATGCTTTAATTCTTTTCTTACCAATCGAGAATTTAAAATCACAATTGTAAATACTCTATCACAGTCTAGAGAGGTCCCCTGCATGAATGTTCAGAGTGATGCAGAAATAATAAACTTATAATCAACTTGACAAAAGCAGTCTTAATGGAATCCAAAACGAAGCTTCGTAAACCACTTCAAAGTTCCAGGGTATTTCAGTGGACATTCACTTTGAGTGGAATTTGTAAATTGATATGGTTATTACATAAAGAATTCGTTGTGTGGATCTAATCTTATTACTTTTAACTTTGACACCCTGTCTCACCCTGTTTCTCGGTCAACTTTTGGACTAAATCGTAACATTGTACTTAAAGAATCTCCTATTTTGCCATCTACCATTATTTACGAGACACCCTGCATATACAAAATTCTGGTTCATGTTCACGACCAGTATGTTCGCATTAAATAGTGATGATGAATTTATAAAAAAGAACACGTAATTATTCTAGCTGCAAATTTTTCATCATACTGCCTAAAACCATTAGTGAAATACTGCAATATTCAAAAAACAGTTTGCTGCTAAACAAGACATAGATGAATTCGAAAACTACTTGCTGGGTAATCCCTGAATGTTTATCTTTGTCTTTTATTTATACGTCTTTTGTTTCCTATATCTTAATTAATTAGTGTCTTATACATTTATTATATTTATGGTATATATATATATATATATATATATATATATATATATATATATATATATATATATATATATATATATATATATATATATATATATATATATATATATATATTGATATTTTTTAATTGTTTTTATTTTAACGTTTTTTTTAATTGTTACGTACTTAATATTATATTAACTACTCTGCAGTGTCGCTGGAAGGATGAATAAATTATTATCTGTTATCATAAACTAATGTAGTAATTTCCTCGGTTTATCTCTTATCTTATTATGGGTTTCAAAAATAATAATATTTCATTTGATTAAAAAAATAGTGTCTGGTAACATTTTTTCATGAATACGTCCCTGTCGCCATTCGGTGCTCACTTCCTTAGCTCGTACGTCATCGTGTGAATTAAGAGTAACATTTACAAATTATAAAACGGTTCAAAATTTAAAAATGGAAAAGACAAAAAATAACGCGTCCCCGAAATAGAAAATAATAGCGGAAACAGGAAACGCTCTTTTAACCTGTACATTCTCTGAACCCGAAATGTTCTAGCCTAGTCCGACGGTAGTGGAGATCCCTTATCAAGCTCAGATTAAATCGTTATACACGTCTTATGCATATGTAGGGGATCCGTCAGTCTCAAATTAAAACCCTTTTCCTGGGTGGTTTTTACTTGCGCCGAATTAATACTAACTTGGTTCTGTGACGCGTAATTTTAATAAACAGAATTTCACCGTAGGTACCCATTAAATTCTCGTAAATTGCGAAGGGGTCGACAATTCGGAATCTGCATGCGGTCACATTCAAATGCGTTCCAGTTTGGTCAAGTTGGATTATAAACATTTACATTCTAATTTCATTGACTGTAAATTTAAACCCAAACCAAACATATTCGAGTGCCGGAGTACAATAAATCGTTCGGTCACCGATGCGGTTTACAGAAATTTCCGGAAAACGTTCGATTTTTTAATAATTTAACTATTAGTGCGTAAGTTTATGCATTCTCGCAATAGACGATCCTGAATTCTTTTAAGCGTCACTTTATTTAATATTTTGATTATTATTTCATATTCATCTTTTTAAATTGTAGTTTCTAGTGTTTGGACGGAATTTTTTGGGCACCAAATTAAAACAAAACTCGTTTTTCTTAATGACTATAATAATTTATTAATAAATAGTCTACCAAAAAAATAAAACCGAATAAATGTGGAACAATAGCTTTTGATTTTCCATAAAATTTCTAACAGCCAACTTTTTCTAGAATTTAATTTACACTAATCATATTGCGAATTCCTACAAACAACTGGGTATATACAAAAAAAAATAAATGCTTTTGACACCGAAATTGGAATTTAGGTACAACATGTACATCACTATCATATAAAGCATATATTAAATTTTCTAAATGCTAGAGAATGAGTAGTCGCGGAAGTGCGTCTCAGTTATTTTTCGATGTTTTCTTTTTGTGATTCGAGTAGCGCATAAATCCAGATGATAAAACCTTCCGCGTTTCGGTCACTTGCCCCTAATGTCAGGTGACAATTGAGAATTATTTTTAATAATTGCATTGACACGCAAAAGGCAAGAAAACAAACCTGATAAATTACCCCTAATTGAATAAATAACCTATAATTTACTGTTATATACTGTTATCAATTTCGACCATTAATTTGGTAAGGGAGATCTTTGCTATTGAAAATTATTTGCGACCTTTTTTTTCCTAATTACACGATGCGATTGATTAAAAATAAACGGAACTAAGAATTAAAAAAAAATGTTGACTAGTACATTTAAGACCGCGGTCTCGCCGGCAATGGGGGCGGGGGAGCGGACCTGGCTGGAACTGGCGGTGGGCCTCTGGAAGCGGGTGCCGCTATGGCAGCTTCGGGCCTCGGGGGTGGCGGTGGCGGCCCTAATTGTACAAGTAATTGAAATCTGGTGAAAATGCGTGTCAATAAAATACCCTTCGGTTCAGGAATGCTGTCGATGTCGTCATTTATTTCTTCGTAAATGCCACCCTCTTGGTCCACAGAAGGCATAGATGGTAGCTCGGGCGGCGGCATACTTGGCGGCGGTGTTGATTTACACGGTAGCGTAATCACACCCGCTTTCGGCACCGTCTTCTTTGCGGTCGGGGGCGGAGTTGCTCTGACGGCCGGCGGAGGTGGTCTGGAAGGAGGGGCGGGTCTTGCCGGTACGACCCTTTGATTTACCTCCGGTATACCCAAGCCTATTCGCGATAGTATTAACACATTAACAAGCTTTGACGCTACGTATGGCATATAAACGTTCAAAATCGTAATTATCACCTGTCTACAATTTGGAAATTAAACGCATGTTGTAGTGGCAAACTAACACGTAATTTAAAAATAAATAAATTTAATTTTTTTTTTTTAATAGCTGTTTGAACTTGCTAATTCAGCACTTCATATCACTGACAATAAATATGTGTGACGCAACAATAATAAAATGTGTGCATATAATTAACACGTTTACTCTTATTATTCATTATTTTGATGTTGCATATGCTTACCTTAAAATAAGTATTGCCTTAATGTGAGCAAAATGTGAAAAATCTTTTTTCATAGGTATGGATCAATGACTCCGTGTACAAAACAGAAAGAATAGAAGGTTGGAATGTAGTAAATGGAAACATAACCAATTCAGCTTTAAAGAAAACTGGCTTAATCGAACTATTTTCATGCAAAAATCACACTAACCAAGAAAACATTTTATTGCTAGCAATAGAATAGCTAAGAAGTGAAAAATACGGAGCAATTAGATTTGCGGAGGAAATAGGCTACAAGGCAACTGGAAAATACAATATTGCTAAGGCCATCGCAAAGTTGCTTAAGCTTTAAAAAAGCATACAGTTGAAGAAGCGCTTGCACTGTTCGTCAAATTAAAATTGACGGAAAAAACAATACGTATTTTTAGGAAAGAATACTCCTTATTATTTAATGCTCAGGCGAAAACAAAGCGTCTTCCAGAGAACGAAGCTATAACATATAAAAGTATAAAGTCATATATAAAAGTGGAGCTGTGATGGAAACGGCAGTCATGCTCTATATAAACAAAAAATTGTTACCGAAAACTATTCAATAATGTAACGCTTCACAAGATACTAATTCATGGTGCTGATTTTAATAAAATTAATCATTTTGCCTGTGGGGCAATTATCTGAACTAGCAATTAAAGCTCGTCATAAAGATTATACAGGAAAAACTACACGGAGAGACACAAATAAAGATCTTTTAAATTTCTGATCCTGTGATTTCCTGTTTAAGATAACTTCCACTGGCAAACAGAAAAAAAATCACTAATGAAGTTCTTCCTGTGATCAAATTTCCCTACTGTAGATTCAGAAAATAGCGATAGTGATTCAGATTTTTTTAAGGTTTTTTTTTTAATTAATTATTTTCATTTCAATTAAAACATACATGAAAATTCTATTAATTAAAATTATTTTAATTTAATTCGTTAAATTATCTTAATCTTGGGTTTAAAGATTTACACAGATTTTCTCCAAAATTGTATTAGTTTGGTGTAGTAAAGCCATTAAAAAATTAATTAAGTTCTTGATTAGTTCAACCCGTGGGTTTTTCGGAAACCCCGTCCGAGTCAAGAAACTCACAATTATAGTCAGATTGATTCGTCGGTGTGAATAGGGGTACCGTGTTGCTGGAACACAATCCGATTTCTTGTTTGGCTTGTTCAACCCAGTCGGGAGTCTTTAAAAATAAACTGAGCTTGTAACCTAAAATCTGAATCAGCAAATTACATACGAGCTTCAAATTTGAAAGACCCTCTTTACTTCTAGGGTTCCATTAGTTTTCTTTAAGGCATCCAAAGCGGACTGTCCCTCTCTGAATGTAATCCACATCGTTTCCGAGACAAATCTAATTAAAATGGTCTCGCCAAATTCGCCAAACAGGTCAACCAAAAGTTTGACCATATCGTCGTCAAAAATACTGCCATCCTCTAGTTCGGCACTATCTACAACCAGGCGGCTCCATTGTTATGAACCGCTGTTGATCCCTTTATCAAACTCACCTTCATAGTGCACGATGATCGTCGCGTCCGGAGGTCCCATGTCTTTAATCACTTCGTAAAACACTTTATTTCGCCTCTCTTCGTTGAGGATTCTGCATTCGATATCAATAATGGCGATAACGGGTCTATGATCGCTCTGTTTCAATTCGGCCCTCCCGTAATGGACCAAACGACCGGGCGACCAATTATCTACAACTCCGTTGACTTCGTTCGAATGCTTTCGCCTTTTCCAAAGTACCCGGTCGGTCCAAGCTGGTGCGCGACATTTCTCACTGGTATCGTAATCGTCACTGAATAAGTCGTATTTGTAAGTCGGTGGAAACGTTATCGTACCTTCGATGAAATTCTTAAACACGTTACCATCTTGCTGTTGTTTCTGCAAAACCGTTTAATGAATATATTAAGTTTAAAATTGTACTTTAAACTAAACGTTATACCCAAAAGGCACAAAATATTTGAATACAGTTTGCTGCAAGGTACACATAAATAAATATAACACCAACTTTTATATAAAACGATGAAAATCAATTTGGTTCCATGAGTTTACAGAATTTTTAACAGAACTTGTCGACACATATCGCCCCAGACCATAATAGAGCCACCTGCACAATGAACAGTTTCTCTAACATTTTGGCTAAGTCTTCACCATATTCAAATTTATTGCGTCCTGTTTGTGTGGATATTCGATTTTTTGGGGAGTTCCGCGCCATTAGCGCTGTATCTTGAATAGCCTCACTACCATCACTACTTCCATTTGATTTAAATGTCTTCTTTACCAAGACCTATGCATATTGGATATTCCTGGTAATTTGGTAAAGGATAATCAAATTGTTTTGCAGCCGTCAAATATCAAGTTATTAGTGCGAAAAATTCTGGTGAATATATTTTTTTACTAAAAAGAATTTATCGGATAATCTTATCTTTAAAAATTTATTTGTGCATATTGTAAATGGCAACAAATATTATATTAGGATTACTCAAAAAGTAATAAAAATAAGTGTTTTTAAAAGTGGTCCTTATTCCGTTTTAACTAGTTTAATTAACATCATTTAGTGATTTACTACGTAGTCTTAAAGTCATATCATCCGCATATTAAAACCCAGCCTTGGGGATAGAGTAAACTTGAGTTCACATTAACAGATAGGAACCAATAATAATTAATAATTAAAATAGATCCAAGATTATAGGGTACATCAAATACCGAGAGATTGTCTTTATACAAGATGTTCGAAAAAAACGTGTTAGTACTAATATTTTGATACTAAGATTATAGTGACATTTTCAATTTCATTTTCATATTTTTTATTTTTTTGGTTTATTTGGACATCTCAAAAGTAAAAAAAAATCCACTCTTAGCGGCTTATTCAAATGAAAATTAAGAAAAATTGCAATACAGTCAGTGGCCTACATCTCTTTGACAAGACACATCCCATAACGGCAATGCCTTTATTCAGACACAAATGATATTTTAAATGATTTTTCCAAATATCAACAAATATGTTGAAAACTAAGCATATCCTCACTTATGTTCATGTAAACTTGTTTTTTTCTATGACGAATTTTTTTCTGAAACACCCCGCAGTCTTAGAATTAAGATTCTACACTTGTTAACGAGAGTGATACAACTGTGTGTACAAATACTAACTTAGTATTTTTGCTTAATGATAAACAATGTTAAATGGTATCTAACGGGCGACATTTTTCACTGGTGTCGTAATCGTCACTGAATAAGTGGTATTTTGTTCAAAATATTCCACATTTTTTGCTTCACTGCATGTTACTAATATATTTCAAAGCAGACCTTAAGTAATTACAGAGGCCGCCCCAACTTTTGTTCTAATTTTTTTTTTAGTAAATATTAAAAAAAATATCCCATAGTTAACACACCACATTCTGAATTTATTTACCTTTATGGAAAAGTTTTCTTGTAAACTACATGGAGCTCACCTTAAGTTGATCAAATTCGAGTATGGAGTCGAAATCTCCTTCTAAGACGAGTTGCTTGATTTCGTCTTTAGCCATATCGACTCGGTAATTAAAATCACCGCACCAAAACAAATATTCGTGCGAATTCAGAGAACGACTCTGAAAATCAATTTTTCAAACGTTAGGTATCACGAAATGTATCCAATATGGTTCAGTTACCATGGGAAAAGTGATTTTTCTAGTAATTTCATTGTAATCGGCGTTTCTTTCGGCCACTTGGGTTTGGCCGGCCGCAAAATGAGCGCAGACGAAACATAACGAAGTCGCGTGAAATACTAATCTTATCGCCGCCGCCCCTTTGTTGCCGGTATGGCCCCCCAAGCCCGTTTTCACACAATCCACCGCCACGTCCCTTATGTACGGTATATGCTCGGGCCTAACGAAAACGTACAAACATACTCCAACTAACTGCTGATATGTAATTAAAACGTAGGGCGAATCGCGTGATAAAACTTTCTCCAATTCCGCAGCCCATGCTTTTGCGTTTTCCGTACTGGAGTTCATAATGTTTGCGGCGTTGAGATCCACAATTTCTTCGAACCCTATCGCATAAATGTCGGCGGGTTTCGTGACGTTCGTGTCGGTACCGCTAGTGTCGATTAAACTGCGATTGTTATCCAAAAGCCAGTCCGACAATTGGATATTTTTAAATACCACACTGCGAAAATGCTTTCCGCCATTCACGTTGTAGGTTCCAACTGCTACCCTTACCTCCATTGGTTCCGTATATTCAGAATATCGTTTACATACTTCTCTTAAAACATGAGGAGGGGCTAAAACAAAATCAGTAAGTAGCCAAACTTAGTGACGTCATTTTTTAAATGATTTTTTAGGATACTTAAAGAAAAGACGTCATAAAAATGGTTTAATTAATCTGGTGGTTCCATTAAAATTCGACCATAGAGTCAGAAGCTAATTAGATTAAAATTATTAATAAACGTGACATCTTAACCAAATCAAAACTTATTATTTCATATCTCTGTTCCTTTTCGCGTTAAAAAACAAACTTCGCTAACGCTACACTTTGGATTAAAAAAATAAATCATTAAATAGCAAAACCATCCATTTTGAAGTTGCTTAAACCAAAGTGCCACAGATTTTAATATGTTTCATAAAAAAAATATTTAAAAAACGATGTTTTGCTTGTATCCTCTTGCCTTTAAATCACTCCCTGGCCACATCCTCTATATAGAAAAAAATTACTTATACACATACCATGGAGTGTGTTGTATGGGAGCAAATTCCTTGCTCTATCTGCTAATTCTGATGACAGGGTTGACCCAACTAATAAAATATCTATAGCTTCCTGCTTGGAATTGTCCAATAAGTTGTTCTGTATGGTTCTTGCTGCGGACCTCGCCCCGTCCATGATCTAAAAACAATAAGTAGTAACTTTTTCAATACGTTCAATTGTAGAAGGATTTACTTTGGATCCGCCTTGAATGGCGCCCGTTCCCGCGTAAATTTTGCTGATTTCGTTGCCATTATTCACCCACATCTGCTTGAAAACTTCTTCAAAGCGAGATATAGTTTGCTTTTTGTCCACCAATTGCATAGCCTGAAGTTGTTTGCCTAAAATCTAAATTGAAACGAATGATTTAAAGTAAGCACTATTTCCAAACTTACTGACTCACTTCTAATCCAAAAAATGTCTGTACACAGTTCGTCCTGTCCAAACAGTCCAAGCAATTGGTACGGATCGTCCCAGTTTGCAAACTAACTACTTTGGTCCCTTCTGCTTGATAAAATGAAAATTCTTCGAATTGTTGTTCAACTTTCGCTTTTAATTTGTGCAAATTAGATTGGTTACCACCCCTGCATTCTTGATGGTAATCAAATACTATGTGAGCCACATCAGTGTGGCTAGAATCTTTGTGATGTTTCTGAAATTCTTGACTTAGCATAGCTTCCCCCTCTTTACTCCCTATTAAACTGGTTCCTAACAAGTTCACTATAACTTGTTTGCCATACAATTGTTTAATCATAGACATGTGTTTATTGAAAGCAGCTTTTGCCGCCTCGTAGCCTCTCGATATCCGAACCTTGTGGGATCCAACCTGAAATTGATTAAATGCAATTTAATGTCGCTAAGGCTTATACAACTGGTCAACCTGGACGCCGGGTTGCTCCCAAAACAAGGGGACAGAACCTCTTGTTTGCAAATAGGACGTAACATCGTTTTCCAAGTAAATCACTTGTTCAGTTTCGACGAAATTTGCGACATGGCCCTCATCATTGGTGCCCCTAACGTTAAACCTGTAAAATAAAAAGAATACATTTTTGTGATTATGGCGAATGCGCTGGTTTTGAATTAAGAATGTAACTTGCCTAGTTCCTGCCCGTTCACAACTTAGTCTTGATATCACAGCAGCTAAAGCTTTTCTGTGAGCAACATACACAGTACGAATTTCTACAGAACCACACATTGCACGTACCAACCAACTATTGCAGTCCACCCCAAACCTTAATAGGTGTACATAAAGCATTCTATTCCTGAAACATTCCAGTTGATAACTTTTGCATGAACTGAACATTAACACATACCAGAAGAACCTGTGATCTGTTGTGGTCGTTTTTTGAGCGCGCTGAGCACAAAGAGTTAAATCTAAAGGGACATTTCCAGGTGGACCTGAGTACCATGAAAAATAAAATGTTCCCGAATTTAATAATTTTCTGACCTCTGCTATTCGGTCTTCATTTTGCGTGTAATGCAATGGTACAAGATGTGTTTGTGTTATTCGGAATATTTCAGAATCACCAATTTTCCCAATAGAAAAACAACCAGTTATCATAACTAGATACAGTAAAGTCGATTCTCCGGAATTAACTTGAAGCACCCCTAGACACCCATAGGCATCCAGAATTTTACTGTATTGCTTTTTTACTGCTTCTGTTTCTTGAGAAGCTAAAATTTGCAGTTGCCTTGCAAAAGCGAAAGTCTTTCCAGGAATTCTGATACTCACAAAGAACTGCCACGGCATGAGCTTCAAATAACAGAGTGGTTTCCTTAGCTTTGTGTTCTAATAGAACACTGTGGTGTGTTGAGGGTATACACTTTTCCAGAACACGAAACGCTTTTATCATTGCCATGACGAATTATGTGATTATTCGATTAGAATGTTATCTAGGGGTCTTACGAGCTACAGTTTAGGGTGACATGAATTGTTTCTATTTGTTACTTTTTCGAATATATTTGGGACAGGATTTAACACCCCCCTTCCGAAAATCAATTTTGACACTGACATACCGGTAGATCTTTAGTTGCTCGTTGGGAGCGCCTCGTTCGGTGTCAAACTCGGTCAATGTTGGTTGTATAAGCTTTGGGTATATCTAACTGTTTCAGTAGCAGTAATTGGAAATTTCTTAGGAAAACATCTAAATCGGTCACTGTTGGATACCTAGTAGTGAAATGAAATTTTGTACGATTTTAAAAAATGCGTTAAAAATTAATATTCAATAAATAAAACCAGCAATATATAAAACGAATACATCAGTCAAACACACACATTTTCTTTTCTGCTAAGGCATTATTTGAAAACTGGGTAAATCTAAAAGTGTTTATGCAGCTAATATAATTGAATAAGATTTCTTACGAAATTTTAATGGTGAAGGTAAAGTGAAACTTCTGTACGATTTTAAAAAATCTAATTCGTTAAACATTAATAAAAAATTAAATAAAACCAACAATATATAAAATAAAGTGAATAGCAACGCAATTTATCGAATACTGCAGTCAAGCGTACTGCTTTTTCTTTTGTGCGAAGACGATTTTCTTTTCTCCACGAAATCCGTTATGCACAGGTTCTCATCGAATCCCGCAGTTGCTGTAAAATTATAGAAATAGGAACGTTTTTTTCCGATTTGTCCTCTTAAGTTTACCCAGTCTAGAGCCAGTGCCATCCCAGAGCAGAACTGGAACCTTGTCGCTATGGTAGTAAACTTGATCTGTAACTGTTTTAAAGTTGCCGAAAACGGTGAGATAGTGAGCGTAGTCTTGCGTTTCGCGGTTTTCGTAATAATGGCTAACCTGAAAATTCGTACTAGGATTCGTAACTTAACATAAAAGTATATCAAAAATGCATTTACCACCAATTCCGCTGTCAGTGGACAAAATGAGATGGCATATATCATAGTGTAGGGTTGGACAACTTCGTAATAGTCGATACACTGTTGGGAATTCAAGTCCCACATCAATATTTTTCTCCTGTCTGCGACTCCTATTATATAATCCTTCCAAGGGTGCCAAGAAATCATCTTTAACGTTCATTTACGTTACGATACATTACTTTCGGTTGTTTTTATTAGATGAAAGAAGTGAATGAGAGCATTTAGGCGAAGGAACAATTTTTGGTTATGGTATACGTACTTGAACAATCGGTCGTTGTTCCGCCCTTAATATTTGCATTTTTTCAAATGTGTGATCGTCCGTGTCGAAACCATTTACTCGATAAATGATTGCGTAACCATTTATATTGCTCAGAGCCAAAAAGTTTTCCTTGCAGGAAAATTTCATGTGCACTATTGCGGATTTCGTTAGCGATGTTGTTACTTTTACCAGAACGTAGTGATAATCGTGAATTTTTCGAAAAATTGACATATGCCCGGAATTGCACCCGGCCGTCAAAATATCCTCATTTTTCCATTCCAACACCGTCAGCAGGCATTTGTTATTTCCATTACAACATTCGTCGCGAATCAGAAAACCGCCCTGAAAGTATCAAATTTTCCAACGCTCTTTTTCATAGCAAACCCGAATCTTACAATTTTTTCATTAGACGGATACATAATCTGAATCGACAAGGGTTCAACAATCACCGCCAAATATGTTCCCGACTTGTTCCATTTCGCGCAAAGTCCAACGTTTTCGTTTTGCGCCGATATTGCGATAGTGTTATCAATTTCGGACCACAAAAACACTTCCGTTTTGAAAATGGTCGCTATTTGACCTTGTTTGCCCCAATCGATACGATGGCCCACTTGGAAAAAATAAAAATGTAATAATTAATTTCGGAAAGGGGTTTTCTCTTACAAACGATCGTAGTTATATCCGGCAAGTCCAATAAAATGGTTGGCGGACCAATGCAAGGTCTTTTCCTCGGAATCACCGGCCAAGTTGCCTTAAAATTTGCACGCTCCGTGTTTTTAGACTTTTCCGATTGGTTATATTTGAAAACCGAGCCGTTTATGTTATTATCCCCGTTGAACATCACCGACCATAGTCTACAAACGCACAATATATATTTAACCGAAACCATTAAAACTTACACGTACGCATTTTGGTAGTTTTCCTTGCTTTTCATTTTTTTGGCGATGTTTAAAAATGTCGGGTTGCCGCTTCGGGCTTGATCTCTCGCGCTAAATTTTCCCAAATCTTCGAATTCGTTATCGTTATCAACTGCGTGGAGTACCTTCCAACTGGCTGCTTGGAAATTAATTTTGCTTCTCGTGGGGATGAATCTGTCGGGGCAGCTGGTTCTCTCAGCCCGCATTGTTTTGAATTGCTTGCGTATCGTGCATCGGCCTCAAACAAACAAACCGTCGGCATTTGTCAGTTTTTTTTGTGTCTGGTACCGCGGACCAAAAAAAATTAATAAATAAAAAATTCCGGTCACTTCTACCTTTTTACCGGCAAATTCCTAAATATAAGAAAAGTGAAATGTCGGGGTATTTTTCGAAACAAAAAAAATCTAGCGACATTTCCTATTCAGATCACATATTTGTCGTGTAAATAAAAAACGAACAGTAACCGATAATATAGGGCAGTGGAATCATTAATCAAAAAAATACATAGCTATAACTGTACCGTGGATTGTGAACCAATTAGCACCTGTACACGTTAGATACGTAAAGTAGGGAAGAGGCTGAGGTATCTTCTTATCCGGCTAAATGATAACAAAGCAGTACCGAGCCGCATTTCGCCTTGCAAATATCTTCAAATGGATTATGCAGTTTTTATATTAGCATTCGCTTCGCTCGATTTGATTGCGTGTAAAAATATTGCCCGAAATGAATCTGCGGGTGTTTTGCAATACGCAAAAGTGGCACGCTGGGGATCCAATGGTTCGGAGGAAATACGAAACAGCAGAAATACGCAGTACCAAAATCACAGGCAAGTATTGACAGGACGGCAAGTAGTTCGCATAAAATTAACTAGATTTCTTTAGGTTGAAATTAAAAAATTCCAAAAGGACTCCGGGGGTGGTTTACCAATACCCAGTCTATCCCGCTTCGGCTTCGAAGGTAGAAAAGAAAATCGAACACGTTCCTGGAATAGGCGAAGTGGTTATCCAGGATCGATTCGAGGCAAGACCGTTGTTTGTGTATAAGAATAAACAACAGGCCCTTTCGGATACTTACGGGGCACCCGCTTCCGGTTCCAACCAGCAGCCGGCGACGGCACCAACTCCAATTACGACTCCGAGGCCGGTTTCCAGTTTCGATACGTTTCCGGTCTACAAACCGCCTTCACCGCCCCCAATTTCCTCGTCTCAATCGTCCGAAAGCTCATACAATTCACCGTTTAGTTCGTATAACCCGCCGAATTTTATTCAAGAAGACGATTCAAATTTTCCCGACTCTTATCCACCGATCGAAGATAAAGCGCCATCCAGCGAGGCACCCAAAAGTAAAAAACCAGAATCGTCGATGACGTTAGGGCCACCACTAGCGATGAATAACGAATACGATCACCCTCCTGCGCCCGATTATCAGGATCACCAGCCACAAGATCCTATGGCGATTTACAAGTATCACGATGACGGGCCGCCACAATACCCGCCCCAAAGCGAGGACGACATTTTTTACCCGCCGGATATGCCTCACGATGTTAAAATGCCTGCTAACGCACCCCCTAAGCCTGCAATGTCGGCTATGGATGCTCCCAAAGGCAATAACGGACCTCCGGCGGATGATACGATGGATTTGGCACCTCCTCCTAACCAAGGCGACCATCAGGATTATTCATTTCCTCAGTACCTTTATGATCAACACCATTTCGACCATCACGTTTACGAGGAAGTACCTCATACCACTATGGCGCCCGTGAAAGAGGACAAACGAGTTAGCTCTACGCATTACAGCTATTACTACTTGGGCAGGAAATTGTGGTACATTCCGTTGTACTTTAGTATCTACTTTATCATTTACGTCACTGTCCTGATCGTCAAGTCTATCGCCAGGCATAAGGTCAGACTAAAGTACACGTGGGCAGAAGGGGGATCCGCTAGCAGAGAATCAAGAACTATGACTTTGGCAGAGGAAAGAGACGCCAGTATTCCAGTTGCGTATCAAAATGTTTCCGTCGGTATTCGCAATGCGACTCAAAAATATTTGAAAGATGTTATATTAATGAAATAAATTTGTTTATTTATATTGTTTCTGGTCATGGTCTGTCACCCAATGTTATTTGATGCGCCAAGATATACGAGAGCTCAAATGATAAGAGATTTCCGTTGATCTGCCTAAAATGTGTGAAAGTTTCCTCCCACACAAATTTTTGCGATCACTATTATTTAATTATAGTTCGATGATCTCAGTACAGCGGCCCTTCATTACTGTTTATCCCAAATCCCCACCGATGTTGTCTCATCATATGAATTTAGGTTCTTCCTGTCCCTGTCACTGTTTAATGGGAATTGGAAAATTAATTAATTTATTTGACAAAAAGAAAACAATGTCATACCCAATACCCAAGAAGGTCACCGAAATAACCCTTTATACTACTCTCCGTGGGAGTACTCAATAAGAGGTAGGGTTTTAGAATAGCTCGGAAGAATGGAATTATTGGAAAAAATGATAAACTGAAATAATTTTCTTCAATAAGAAACATGATATTAATATTATCTGAGTCCATTGAAATAACTAGTATGCAGATATTTTTCATTTAATAAAATTTTCTGATATACTTGTGAAGTAGAACGGTGAAAGATTTTTATTTTATTAGCTAAGGGTATATTTGAGTTTATTAAGAAAATTAGTATGTGATTGATTTTAAAGTGAAAACGTATATATTAAAAATTTTTCGTATAGAGGTGGACACCTTGGTAAATATGTCAATAATCGGTCGAAATGAAATTGGAACAGCTTACGATAAGTAAACATTACCGAATTTGTTGCTCTAGATTCCGGCAGACGTGCGTTAGCACAGAATGATCGCTCTAATATTTGTTTGTAAATTATTACAATAATGCACGTCGTCCGTTAAGTTAACATGTGCTAAATTATATTAATTATCACAGGATTTTCAATTGTGAGCTGCGCGTCCCGATAAGTGTCACCATCGATTTACAGTTGAAACATCCTCTGATAATATTGCTTGGCCGGAGGTGTGCATTTTTGTAAAAAAAAGTGCTGCTGTACCTAGTTTACATTTTTCAAAATATGTACAGGTTGGTGATTATTTGTTGTGTTCTGTACAAGTTTTGTTTTTGTGTAACGAATACGTCTTCGACCGTCGGGAATTTTCCGGTCGCTACCACCGAAAAATTTAGTGCAACCCCGGAAAAGACCAGGTAACATTGTAGCATTGTAACATGTGTAACATGTGTAATGTTTGTTATGTCGTTGGACAGCTTGTTTTGCATCCCAATTTTTTTTATTTTTCTGTGGATATTTAATATTTCTTTTAAATTTTTCTATTATTTAGCTTTAGCAATCAATCTTTCGCTGTTTCGGTGAATTCGCCAGAGGATTTTGCAGTACATTTGGGGGATTATTTTTAGGTACGAACAAGGTTTGGAGGATTATGATGAAGAGCAACAAAGTATGAGGCAAAGTCGAGGAATGATGATGGAAGATGATACCATAGACTATCACGATCACCACCACGAACACAAGGAAGAAAAAGAGAAACCAAAGGCTGTAGCAGAGGACCCCTGGCAGGGTTACTACGACTTCATCATTAACGAGGGATCGTTTAAGTTTTGGGCCGTATTTCAGGTTAGCGAAAATATTAGAACTTTCATCCGTCTTTTTCGTAAATTCAGATTGTTTTTAGTTGGTGACGGCGGCTTTGTTGATTTATTCGGCATTCGCAGCCGTTTACTACGCCAAATTCAACGTTATCACTACAGATTACGATTATTACGACGACTTTTACGGACGAGGGAGGTCCAACACGGATTCGTCCAGTATATGGTCCGGATTATCGTCGCAGACGTTTCAGCGAATAATGGATGCGTTGTCGTCGAAAAAATATTCGTAAAATTATCGAAGAAGAGTCAATTACTTTGGTTTCGAGTTCCTATAACGGGATGAAATACGTAGGTCGGTATAGTTTGCTGAAAAGTGTACCAAATAATTCGGTTTTCGTTTCGGCAACTGTACCGACTGCAGCGTTTAAAAAAGTCGTTTAAGTGAAATTAGAAATGTTTTAACTTCATTTGCGACTATTTCGCGTTTTATTTGATTTAAAAATAAATTAAATAAATCATTAGTAAGTAAAATAAAGTAGCTTGGCTCTTCTAAGGCAAACGATAGCAGTGAGTTGTGTTTTGTTTCTATACTCACGGTTCTTCCGATTCTAGTATAGCCCGATTGTACATATTTGAAGTCTTGTTCAAAATGGCTTCGGATAACTCAAGTAAAACGAAAGTAAATCGTAAAATATTTTCACAGTGTGTTTTTGTGTATTAAATGCGTAAACGATTTGTAGGGCAAACAATATCCACGCCCTAATTTAGCATAATATGAGCTGGTTATTCTAAGCGCGAGCCAAAGTGATGTGTTAAAAGCAGCGGAGGACAAAGTCGATTTTAAATGAACCTACTAGGGTACAGAGAGTTCAATGCCCAAGTAGACAAGTAACCCGACAGCGTATTACCGAATGAAATAAGTGGTTATTTTCTTTGGTGCTCTGGAGATGCCCGGTTAGAACTTGGATGCATTTAATGTAGTTTTGGGCATTAGAAATACTTAATTAGGCAATTTCAATAAAGCCGTACTGTATTCCTATATGTATATGAGGCTGTTGTTCATTTATATTCGATTAAGTGCCGCCAAAAATCTGGTTTTCTTCCGGCAGCGTTCTTGTCAATGTTTCGGCGAATACCGATATTCCTGTCTGATTGTGATATCGATTTCTATCGTTCGGGTTGCTCGATGTCATATTTTGCAACTTTTTTAGAACTGAATGATGTACCCAAAGATAAACTCATCATTATTACAATTAAATTAGAACAAAACATGTTCAGATTTTCACAATTTTTAATGATTTATCGGGCCTTTATCAAATAGTGTTTCCGAAAAATATCTGAAATTTTCTTCTTCTAATTGAATTTTATTAAATGTGTTAAATTGAAGTTACGAAAACCCTAAGATGTCACCAAATTTCTAGCCAGCTATTATACAAAATGTTGTTCAAGGAAGTTCTAACACAGATTTGTATATCTAAGCTCAAGTATGAACATTTTTAATTATTTAATCGACTTAAAATTGCGTAATTTATTGTAATTGACGAATAAGTTCGGATACTTATTTATACGTATAGGTATTTCGTCTAATTTAATCTAATTGCAAAATGGCCGCAATAATATTCGTCAAGTTATGACAGCGGTGTACGATTTACGCGGTTGGTGACTATGTGTGCCTTCGTTCGCTTAGGTGAGGAAAGAAGATCCCCGAGATTTACCATGCAATGAGACTCGGTAAACAGATAGCAACCGTCTTCGTTGGCGGAGTCATCCAACTCTCTGCGGCCGCGCTTCTTATATTATACACGCATCGGAGAATTCCGGTCGTTGTTATTTTTCAAACGCGGGAATATACGAAAATGTTCCCCGTTTTTCGCGTACGTTCTTAGTGCCGTTGTGTTTAATTCACGTGTATACTGGATCATGGAAAAAGTCGTCTACGGTACCACCGGGTTACCGTCCAAGTACCGCCAGAATTTTTCCAACAATTTCTATCAGAATGTTCCCAGAGGAACCCTCCGACCCGTCGCGGTAAATATTTTATATTTCGATTCGATTCTGCTGGTTTTTCGGTGTGCGCCGAACCAGCGCAAATATCTCTATATATAGACAACTTTTCTTTGTAACACTTTGCGTATATTTATTTGTTTTGCTCGGAATACTTCAACGTGTCGCCGTCTAAATTTGCTAAATTGCTAAGTTTATATCGTTTACCGGTATCTCATTCCGTTGGTTTTGCTGTTTTATATTAGTTCCGATTTTAAACTCACCTCCAGTAACTTACAACGATTATTCCGTCGGCCATAGTTCTCAAATTACTGAGACCTAATTAGTGTATGAAAAATCGATTTAAAAATCTGAAAAAAAATTGAAAATAGTACACTTTATTTACTACGATTAGGCAGGCTTGAAAATAGTTCATGCAGACGTTGAAATTGCTTCAGTTATAGGGAAATAATTAAACTAAATCGTCCAGATAATGGGTTGAAATACTGCGTTTTGCTGTACACTACATTTAGCTGACGGGTAACGATACATTACGGTATTTAAAATAGCAAAATGTTCCCATGCATGCATTAATATCTACTACAATCAGAATGTGAATGAATCCACGAGAATTTATTTCACGGTAGTTTTAAACTTTTAAGCACCTAAAGTGTTTTGCTAGTTTTGCCCTATAAAAATTTAGTACATGCAAATCCTCGGCCGCGTATCATTTTTCGTCGTAAACACAAAAAGATGCATCTTCACTGGTTACGGGACTTCACCGGTTCAATTTGCTCCTTTGCTAACCAAAATTGCGTTGGTCAATCAAATTTAATAATGTGAACAGTTAAAAATATTCGCAATTTTTACACTTCGTTCGTTCTCGGTCGTTTAATGCTTTAAATACCCTCATCGTTGGTGCGTTTATATACAAAAATTTAGATACCCCATCGCACGGAATTAAACGCGTTATGAATATAATAAATTATTACGCAATTACGCATTTATTTCGACTATAACCGAAACTGTTTCAAGATTTTAAACTTTTCGCTCGGCTTAACTCGGAAAGCTTTTTTTTCTTATTAACGGGATAGGTAAATCTGGAGAAGAATATTATCTCCAAGAGAGTTCTCGGAAAATGCGGAAAAATTAAAATTCAGAATGTGTGCTTGCGCAGGAAGCGCCTACCATTCGCTTTGGTAAAATTTCTTTGTACCAATTTTGTAGCCTGTTCAAAACTGTACACGTTATTTGTTCGGTGTCGGCCTATTCCAACGTCGGTATGCTTATACGTAGCTTCAAAAATTCATTAGTGACATAAAAGGCACTAAAACATTTGTTTTTAATTTATGACAGTATCCAGATTCTTTGTGTGAAAATATTGGGATATTTATTGCGGCATTTTTTTTTATTTAAAACATAATATTTTTATTTACAGATCTTACAGGTTTCACGTATTTTGTAAAAACTTGGTATGTACACTTGTCTTGTTACAGTACACTTTTCGTCTGAATTTGGTGAATAAAAACGGCGTACGATTAGAAAAAAAATAGTATTCTACACAAGATTACCACGTCAAATTTTATCAATGTATAAATTATATTACGTACGCACCTCTTGCTTTGTATAATATGTTCTATCTGGTTCATTTTTAATAACAATCTTAAATGTGAAATTTTGCACATTAACTAATACACTAAAAGTCCAAAAATCAGAGAAAACAATAGAGAAATCAGAAAAAACAATATATTGTAGATTAAATGCCAATTTCAAAATTAAAAATTACGATTATATTATATGTATTATATAACTGACAAAAAGCACATATTCTAGGGTACAAAAATTCGGGCTGTTTTCACCAAATTTTAAACCCAAAAAGAAGACAGTGTAAACTTTCTACCAAGAACATTGTTCTCTTTTTCCCCTTTTTAGTCAAAACACTATTTCAGTTCCACCCATAGGAAGGCCTCGAATATTGTATTAAAAAATAACGAGGAAGACAAGCATAACAATTTTTTTTGTGGGTCTAAAAAAAATTAATAACAATAACGCGGATTTTTGTGTTTCTTTATTATTTCATTTTTATAATAAGACTATCTCAAAACACTAAAATTGTTATCAAAAATTTAACAAGAAAAAAATGCAAAATATGTCTTAAACTCTAGAACATGTGGTACGAAATTGCATGAAAATGTCACCTAACAGGATAATTATACACAAACAAGTTGAAACAAAGTATGTGAGAAATTGTGTAAGAAAGTTTTATAAATAAAAATGTTATTACAAACTATATTGTGACTACGCAATAGAAGCCATCATATGGTTTTGGACTTTAGAAAACAGTATACATTTTTTTTTACCCATTTCGAGCGGACACCAGTTTGGTTTTACCAATTTACTGTCCGCAGTAACGAGCGTGGTCCAAAGACTAGAAATGGACAAAAGTAGTTCCTCGAACAATCGCATCGACCTTGCAAGGTTCTTACTCCCATCATCATCATCTTCTCCGGAGGATTTTTTTGCATTTGTCCGGTAAACGGCGACCGGTTTAATTGCGATATGGGTTTATTTTTCATATCGGTACACTTATTTAAATGTACGAACGCACTGCAAGCAAACGTCATATGGTCCAAAGTAGGATTTTAGACCAGTTATGCGCGGTATCAAATCCGTTTGGGGATAATCTTCAAAATGCAGGAAAGGAAGGCGTTAGAAATCGTTCTCTAGGCTTCAGATCGCTTTTCAACTCTTTTAATAACGAGGTACGATTGCTACCGGTACCGTTATTTTTCATTGCGAGGCAATACAAAGAGTTTTGCATGGCTCCACGGCGGCGATCATTTTAACGATATCCGCGACACTTTTCAATTCTCAACATGTTCCAAGATCGTTTATAAAATATACAGTGTGTTTCAAAACGAATGGGCCATCGAATAGCAGTATATTCGTTGTATCAAAAAATTTCCATTTTTTAAATAATTTTATTTTTTGTTTGTTACTTACGTTCATAATTTTAAAAATATTTTTCGGGAATGAGAAATCAGATAGTGTAATGAGTTTTGCAATCATTAATAGGTGTCGCGACCTGCATAAATGTTTTTCCTAAAAATACCATCATAATTTTCTATATATTCTCAAATTTAATTTCTGATAAGTCATTTTCTAGTATGTTCTAAGAAAAAAAGGTATCATTGTTAAATATCCGTATTTTACGTCGTTTATACGGCGAAAATATTATTTTCCACCAATGGTTGCCAGTGAATACTAAAAAAGAAGAAGAATTTTAAGATAAAAAAAATAACCTACTGGGTTTTCTATTACTAATTAAACTAATCAAAATAAGGAAAATTCTGTTAGACAGAATTGCAATGAATCAAATTTTATTTTGATATATTGAACAATAATACCTTTTTTACGTAAAAAATACCTAAAAATCACTTTGTCTACAAAGAATATACTGGTATTCGTTTTGAAACAGCGTTTTTATTATTAACAATCCGACGAAATTAATTATTTGTGTTATTTATTATTTCTTATTTTCCTGGCTGTGCTAGGAACGACTCTCGACATTCGGACTGATTGAGCGGAAGTTGTCAATCTAAATTATATAAAAAAATTAAAGCGAAATAAATTTTCTTTGTTCCCACGGTACTGTATTTAAACATAATAAGTATTATAAAAGTACTGTTCTGTTTCAACGGGCCTGTATACGTATTTGTTGGAAACTCACTGACAACAGGCTTAATAAAAAGCAACGAATAAACATTTCAACTGCCATCAAACTCCGTCGGTTCGCCCATATAATTTCTCAACCTTGTTAAACCTTTCTTTAATTGGGTCCTGCATAAAAACATTGCATTTATTTTTATTTTATGTTTATAAGGTCGTTATTACGTCCGTAAATTTTGAACCTTTCTATGGAGATTCAAAGTTTTCTTGGCATAAATATAATTATTAAAAAAAATTCAAATGCAACCTTCCATTTGACGTTTCAATGCATGCGATGCACACCCCAAATAGCAAAAACGCAAATGCAAAATTGATAAATTTTATATAATCTTCTAAAAGGTGTGTCCCCATGCAGGAATGCTATCATTAAAATGGGCCGCGTATCATTTGCTTTAATTGTGGTAAAAACGCCAAATTTGAACTGGCGAAAACATGGGCAGGCTCTTAAGGCTTTGCGACCACCCATTAAACTATACAGGGAATTACTAATTATTGTTCCCTACGTTCTTGACATACCTTCATTGGCCAGTCTTTAAAATACTCTTCAGGTATTTGCTTTTCATTAATACTGCGCCGATTTGTCAAGCATTTTCATAGAATTGCAGTCGAACGGATACTTGGCATTTGTTAAGATCGTTATAATTATCCTCCTCTTATTAATCATTCGTCGCATGGTAAAAACGTTTCAGTATTTTTCGAATTCTTTCCCGTTTTGGTATTCTTAAAGGGTTCGTCTAAATGTTGTTGCACTTCTGAGACGACACAGATCTTTCAACTTTTTCGACAGTATTTTATATTTCCGCTATTTATTTTTCGTTAATTTTCGTTTACTCGTTGGAGTATTTTTTTTTGCCTGACATTTGGACATTTAAATGTAACATTAAACAACTTGTTTTTTATTGCACAATTTCCTTGCTACGTGTATTTTTAACCCGGATTCTTTTGCTAACAGTATTTTTTCGTAACGAGCTGTCGTAGCCTAACGGTACGCAAGTTATAATAAGCAACGCATTTATGAACTATATCGGTTTACGATGTTTTTGCGGGATTACTATATACCAGTTTTGTATTTCAGTTGGCCTAACGGGGCACAAATGGTTCGTTTACCTGAAACAATCCGACTTTCGCCACGATTTTATTTCGCCTGATTCTAAGTTGAATTCCGCGCAAGTTTTATTAATTGCCGGTTGAAATCTGGCCGTTGCTTGTTTATATCAAAGGGTACATCCTCAAACCACGTAAAACACGGTTTCCCATATCATTACAATAATTTAAAACAACAAAACAAACAAAAAAGTCTATGGAATTAAATAATTATCGAGTTCCTTCAAACAAATGTGTGTTTACTATGGAACGACGACGCCTGCATTTAAGTTAATTTAAAAAATCATTTATTGGTTTTAAAAGAAATTATTTCACTGAAACAAATAGTTTTTATTGCAAATTTAAATTGAATTCCAAAATTTCATTTAAGGCGTCATTTCTATTTTATCATTCACGTATTTCGTATATTAAAAAGAGCTAATTACTTGTAAAAACGACGAATTCTATATACAAATAGGAAATATTTAGCTAATTATATATTTCCGATAAATGAGCTTGCAATTTACAGATTCACCTGACAAACAAGTAATAGTGGGAACGGGATCAGTTGGTACCGCCAGATATATATATTTATTGGACCAGACTGATCTAACATTACGTTCTAATTAATCTGCTTTTTTTGATTTATCTAGGATCTATACTTATTTGGGTAAATTATAATTAAAATCTTCAGTCTGTAAAAATAGTAAAATAACTACGCAAACATTATCAGTAGGTACATGCTTTTGATATTTGCACATGCAACCACCAATAACGAATAAATTTGAGACGAGATTATAATTATTATGTTAAAAATATATTACTTAAATGGATGTAAAAAAATATCATAGAAATACTTACACACAATAACGCGTTTTACCACAAACCGAAACTCAATTTTACGTTGTCGCGTCACCAAAACTACCCGTTTCAGCAACACGTCGATTCATATTTTTACACAAGACCTTTTGATTCAGTAAACTCACCAAATTAGCAAAAAAAAAGTAACGTAAAAAAGTATGTACAATAATAAAGATAGATAATTAGTGATAAGTCATAAATTCAACAAGCAAAGCCTCGAATTCGTAATTGACTTTCGATGCCTGCCGAATCCTTAACGATACTAAAGTCCTAAACTTCAGTTTTAAAAGTAAAACACATCTCTTTAGCTCAATACCTACTTCAAAAGCCACTTAAACCATGTCCTAAGAGGAACCCTTGTCTTCGGTCATAAATTAATAAAGTGTTCGTCAGGCCGATCGTTACCATCAGTAAAATCATAAACTTCGACTTTTGAATAGGATTGAGAAAAAACACTGAAATTCCCATTATTCTAAAAAATACCACAAAATTGTTCCCTATAAATATTTACTGGCTCTAACATACGTACTCGACGCGCGTTTCGCCAACCAAGTTGGCATCTTTAGGAGAAGATTAAAACTTTTTAATTTTAATTTAATCTACTCCTGAAGATGCCAACTTGGTTGGCGAAACGCGCGTCCAGTAGGTAAAATTGAGTTTCGGTTTGTGGTAAAACGCGTTATTGTGTGTTAGTACAGTGCCGAAGATTCAAGTCAAGAGTTTGATAGAAATACACTCACAGACACTCAGTACTTTAGAATCTTAACTGTGCTTATGCGAAATAAATCTATGACTTCAAAAGATTGCATTGTGCAATCATATTTAAATGTTTGAAATATTAGGATAATCTAATATACCGGGTGACACAAGAAAGTGATAACATAACTTTTAAACGGCTTGAGACAGCGACTTGAAATTTGGAAGGGTTAATATGGGCTGAATGTCCCATTTTTTTGACAATATGTAGTCAAAAATAAAATTCAAGGGAGAATTTCTTCTGAGATTCAGCGATTAGAATCAATTGGACGTAGACTACGTCCAACATCGGAGATGGAAGGACCTCTGAAGAAGCTCGCCACTCGTGCTAGCGAAACGTTAGGAAGTAATTCCAATCGACGACGGCCTTTAAACCCGAATCAAGATAATAGCTTTCATAGAATGTTTTCAAATGTCCTCCTTCTTGTATAGGACACTCCCTGTCTCTAGAAATTAAATTCGCTGTAACCCTTCCTAACAGTTCTGGAATTATACTATCAAATGCAGGCGATATTCTTCGCGGTAATTTTTGTAGGTCGAACACTGGTCTTTCACGTACCCCCAAACAAAAAAATCTAACTGTGTCGTGTTGAGATTATTCGATGCCTATAAACATCACGTAGGTGTTCAGTGACATCTCTAAAATTGTGGTGAGGCGCGCCGTCCTGCTGAAAATACGGCAAGACGTAGATCTAACGAGTCTTCAATTTCAGTTCTTAGGAATTGTAAATATCTTGCACCAGTTAAGGCACCATGAAAAAAAAACGGGTCCAATAATTCGCCTTAACATCACTCCTGCCCACACAATGATTCCAAAGCGTTCTTGAAACTGTCCGGGACGAATAATTCTTTAATAATTTAAAGACCAGCATCTGTTGTTCTGTCGGTTACAAACAAATTGAACAATATTAAGTTTACAAAATTATTGTTATGTTTATCTAACAGCAATTGCAGTATCGAAGTCTTCTTACGCAGGAAGAACCACAATCGTTTGATGAAAAAGAAAAACCAAAAGAACAATTCCAAACTTCGGGAAATCGAGATTTTCGTCGTGATTGCAGAACGCCAGATGTTTGGCAGTGTTTTTTTTTTAATTCTCCTCATAGATTTACGTTGACGTATCCTACAATATTTATTTCCATTTCTTCACTTATTATTATTATTATTAATTATCATATCGATTATTTATCATTTTCAATTCCTGCTTTCTAAAGAAAGAATGTCCAGGAAGGCGAGGTCCCGGATAGCAGGCTGCATACAATGCAGGGGCCTGTCGAAAGTTTTTCCTGCATTCCCCATATCTCAAAAACATATCAACTTTTTCTCCATTTGTAAATTGATTCCTGTTTTCCATGATAATCAGATCATCAGATAATCAGATAAAAATGTCCAAACTGTCAGAATTTTCAATAATGCCGACTTAATGAAAAGAAACAAAGGCACCTAAGTAATATTTTGTTTTTATATAAATGTATTTACTTATCTGGTTTTTCCTTTTCTGTGAGCTTATTTCTTAACGCATTTTGAAAATTTTAGTGTCAAAATGTTGCCGATTTGAAAAAGTTTTTGACCCCACTAGGGTGCTATTTGGAAAAAGTAGGTTATCGTAAAAAATTAATAGTTCATTACATTAAATGCTATTTGCCATTAGATTAGTGAAGAAAAGTTTCATTTACAATGTTTCCCATAATCAGGTGACCCGGTAAATAGTATTTATGATGGTCACAGCCTCCGAGACACAATATTCAAAAATCAAATAAAAATTTAAAAAACAAGAAAAATTAGAAAAACCGTCCTACCTCCTGAAACCAAAAATGCAAAGAAATATACTCTAGTAGTAAACTAGTCGTTTCCGCTCAAACGGGAAGTGCAACCATTGACTACATATTGTCAAAAAATTGGACATTCAGTCTACATTAACCTTTCCAAATTTCAAATCGATATCTCAAGCTGTTTAAAAGTTATATTGTGTTCCCACTTTCTTGTGTCATCCGGTATACCGAAGTGGGACACCCAAAAATTTCTCCAATTTTCTCCTTATTTTGACTCGTTTTTTTGTTTCTATTTTTCTGCATATATAAAATAAGATTAAAGGATCTGTTAGTATTTCTTTCAGAGTTTACACTTTATGTTTACAATTGTCCTTATTTGCATAAAGCATCCTTAAATTTGAAAACGCCTTTTGACGTCACCTATTCAGAAAAATTCAGTTTCCTGTCAATATACAATCCCAATGATTTCACACATTCTTTTACAAAACAGCTCTTCTTAACGGGCAGTGTATAAAAATAAGCCGTCCGTTTCACAATTTTAGTTAATTAATTTTATTAATAATCATGTGAAACCATGTAGGTACCTTCAATTTGTTTTAATTACCTTCATTTATTAACTTCGGTTAGGTCCAAATAGTACTGATACAACGTGCTACCGCAATTTTATTCCTCGCATTTCTGACTGAGAAAGTCTTTATTTCGATTAAAATAGTCCAATTATAATAAAAATTTCAACTTCCAAATTTCAGAAATCTGTCCTATTTCAAGTGAATTACCAAAAAACTTGAACTACAATGCAGGGAATGACGTCACGAATACGTCGATGCCTTGTAAGGCCTTACGATGTTTGAACTTAAATGACTTCAAAATGGCGAAAGCTAAAAGCCTGAAATTTTCATAGTATGTTTTAATGGTAAAATGGTTCCGAATTTGGTGAAAAAATAATCGCAAAAGCAAATGTTGAGAACAAGCATATTGCATGTAAGTTAAATACAGAGCTTTTACACTAAATTTGCACAATTTGTTGAGTTAATCTAAATGGATACTTAGTTCTTTCAATTATGAGTGTGTCAAATAAACAATTTATCTATGTGAGAATTTTTTCTGTAAATGGAACCCAGAAGCTTTAATTGCCTATGGATTTTAGGAGTGCCTGGTGACCAAGCGGCCGATTCCTACCGAATTTTTGAGTAACCCCGGCGGCGTTTTTATACCAATAACACACGAAATTACCGGGTTTCTCGGTAATTTCAACCAAATTATTGTGCTTAACCCTCTCATATATTAAAATGGCCTATAGTTAAGGCCGATTCGGCCAGTATATCCCAGAGCGTATCTCTCGCAAATCTTTATGTCCGTAACGGAGGAGAGGACCCGCACACATACGCAGGTACCACCGAAAAAATTGTCCACGCCGGGAACGAAAAGCAGAAATTGCTCAAGGTGTCTTATTAATTCGGAAAGAAATCTTTTACCGTGACACCGACGTATAAAGGTTCGCTTCGAATTTAAAGAAAAAATTTGCATAATTCCAGATCGACTATACCTTACCAAATTGCGGTGGTACTCGGAGATCTACATCGATCGCATCCATCTCACATACCCATCATACCCTCTGGCAGGAGCGATATCAGCACGGTACTCCTATGTCATGCGCGGGTTCGTCAATTTCTCTCGGTAGAGAAGGACAGCGTCAATTTTAACGACAATCGTGATATGTTGCAGGGGTGGAACGGAAACAATCGTCGAAGGGTAGAGTGTGTTCGATAGCCTTAGCCGTAGCATCGTTCGTAGTATTAATAATCGTATTAGCCATAGCCGGATTAGCATTGTACATGGGGATATCCCAGACAGATTCGCCATATAATGGTAATCGACGTTCTTTTATTGTTACACCATTTCTATTTTTTGGTTCATCTCTTTAATATTGCAGCAATAATATCGTTCAGCGGGAGCGCGAAAGTGCTGAGAGGGGACCGATTTCTAGGCGGTCTTGAAGAGAAGGCCAAAAAATACAGACGGCAAATAGATATGCTCTATCAAAATAGCGCCTTAGGGCCCGCTTTGGCGTCCAGTGCCGTCGATGGTTTCGGCAAAGATGGATTCACCATTTATTTTCGATTAAGTTTCAATCGAAAAAAATTATCTGAGTAAGTATGCCCTCTTTGCTTCCAATTTTAGCACCCGTCCTTTAGTTCAATTAAAAATAAACAAAAATAATAAAGTTCATAGAATAGAACCATAGAATTTGTCTTATATAAACAGATTCAGAAAAAATGTCAAAAGTAGAGAAGTGCTAGAAAGCCTGACTTCAGTAACTTCAAATATTTGTTGAAAATACATTTTTACTGACCACTCCGTGAATGGCAACATCTTTTTGTCTGACTCTATTTTGAATGAATTAATTCAAGATTACGTCCTGTAAAAAATCGAAAGGTTTTACGGCTTATTTCTCTGCTACAACAATAAAAATAAATTTTAGAAGCTATGTGGGCTACATTTAAAATAAAATCCCTTACAACCGCAGACAGTTTTGGCCACTTGTGTCAGTTAAAAGTTAATCCTCTGTTCCGTCCGTGATCATCAATAATCAGTCGGAGATATGTGACGTTTCTGAGATATGTCATTTGTTTGCGAAGTTCTTTGAAATCATATTTATTGCACCGCGGACTAACAGTGAATACCGTGCCTCAGCTCGTACGCCGATCAACTGTGACTGAAAGGCCCTTTCTCTAAACAAAAATTAATTACTCGAAGTCTTAACTCGCTTGATCCTAACTAGAGCGGTGCTATGGGATGTCATTTCGGTTCAACAAAATGGTTCACAAATTATCGTCCAATTAGTAAGCTTTGTGTATTCCTTCAAATTTTCGAGAAACTTTATAAATAGATTTTTAATTTGGTAAAGAGGCAAATTATTCCAGAAGATCATGGTTTTTACCCAAATCTACCAATTGCATATATCAAGTACCTAGGCGAATGCATGGACAATTATATTCAGGTTGACGCAGTCTACACCGATCTAGGGCTTTTGATAGATCGACCATAAGCTGCTGCTAGTTAATCTGGCTGAGGTCGGAGTGGGCGGGGTGTTGTTGGAAAGGGCTGAGTCATATCTGACGGATAGAACATTTTAAGTCCGTGTCAATGGTCAAAACACTTTGCCACCGCCCTCAAGGTTCCCATTTGGGGATTCTGCTGTTTATAATTTATAATAATATTTTCAGCATAGCAAATTTTAACAAAATAAATAAGAATTAAAAGTTCAGATTTTCACGAAATTATATATTTTCACATGACAATTGTTTCGACAACACCGTGCCTTTATCAAAAGTAATATTTTTAAATGTTCTCAAATCTCTTTCTTTAAAGTTTTCTATATATTTTAAAAGCTTAAAAACTAGAAATAGCTTAAAAACCGTTTTTGTTATAAAATAAGCCTTTTCAAATAAAATTCCCAATTTACATTTCCATACAATGAATTAATGGCGACTAATTTTTGTTTATGATTTATACTTTCACAACTTGTTTCAATGAAAAACGGCCATTTTATTGTGGTGCAAACAGAGAGTGATGTTTAAGAGCTTGTTTAATGATCCTCAATAATATGCTTTGGAAATTTGCAAAAAAGTTTGACGACATTTTCTAAAGATTAAAAATACAAAAGATTATTAGTCAGTGGACCAAATCTAAAGTTATTAGACAAACTAAAATGAAAGTTGGTAAGGAAAATTCATAAAAAAAATTGTTTACTCGCTTTAAATTTGTTGAGTTTTCTATAAAATTACTATATGAACTTTATTCGAGTAGCCCTTAATTTTCTGGCTTATCATTTATCATTACACTGAAAAACTCTGGCTGGGCCCAGATTAATAGTATCGACGAGTAATTTTTGTTGTTTTTAGCAACTTGACTAACATCGAGAAAGCTCTCAAAGATATACTGCTAAGCGACGCGCTATCAAAGAAACCGATTTTCAAAAACGTGAGGTTCGATCCAAGAAGTGTGGTGGTTAGATTGACACCGGACGGTTCCAATGCGTACTCGCCTCCATCGCACATTACGTCAGCGTCAAATTCAAAAAGTTCATCGAAATCGAAAGGGGTGGTGTTAAAATCGCCTAAAAATATCACCACCAGTCCCAAGCCCTTCTTGAAAGATGAACCGGATTTCAACGAAGAAGATTTGCCCGTGATTCAGGGTTCTTTTAAAATTAGCAAAACCGAAGCGGATATTACAGAGAAGAAGACCGATGCGGCTACCACAAAAGCGAAAACGTCTACTACTAGCACGACTACTATGAAAATAACTACGGTTAAGGAATCTTCTACGACGAGCGCTTTTTACAAAATTACCACCGATAAACCGAAACCGACCACAACTACGGCCGTAACATCACCGTTACCACGTAGTAGCGAAGTTCCTCAAACCACGTCGAAATTTATAGGCAGCCCTCAGTTGTTCGGTGACGCTCCCTGGGTGCCCATTTTGCCGAATACTCCTGGGTTTTTGAGCGAGGCGGCACCTGTCGTCGATCAACCTACTTACACGAGTTTCACAAATCCGGGATTATCGTTTAATTTCCAAGATGCCGAAAAATTGGGATCCCAAAACTTAAAAGGCCACCCAATTCCGATCAACAAAATTCCGTTTACCACCACCAACGCAGAGGACGACCATTTCGTGAAAGTCGATACTTTGAGGTACCCTACGACCGTAAAACCGAATACCGAACCAATGAAAAATATTTCCGCGATATTTCAAAATTTGGCGTCGACACTGGAAGAACCGTTTTACGACGACAAAGAGGAAACGAAAGAAATATCGGGTCAGGGACACGTCGAAGTTGTCGACGTCGACGTCGAAGAGTTGCTAAGCCACACTACCAAGATACCATTGGTGACGTTACTCCCGGTCAGATCGAATTCGGGTATCGGTCGACCCTTTCGAAAACGCTTAGGCGACGGCCATAACGTTTCGGTGGAAAATCGCAGTTTTCCGGGTGAAACGGCTCGAGTTGGACAACCGAAGGAAGCGACAAGCAATTACCAAATAATGGGAGTACTAAATTTTGCTACCGAAACGTACGGTTTGCCCGAAACGCGAGACCAGCACGACATCGTACGATTCCCCAAAATGGAACAGGAGAATTTCGATTCTGTTAACCACACGGCGGTTCCATCATTCTTCACTAGCGGCGTCTTGAAAGGCAACGCGTTATCAGTCGAAAAAATCAAACAGCTCGCCGAAATCAGTAAAATCAATACCAACGACACGGTTATCGTTAACGAAGCGAAAGCTATTTCTTCTAGCTATTCCATTAACCACGACGGACTTAAAGTGCTGACCAAAACGCTCAACAAGGCTCCTAATTCTTTTAGCAAAAACGATACCACCATTTTTTCCAAACTTGGATCGAATTCTTTGCATAGGGACGTCGATTGCGCGTTCAAATGCGGAGACGGGAAATGTCTAGCGGAAACCACCAAATGCAATCAATTGATGGACTGCGCGGACGGAAAAGACGAGGCGAATTGCACCTGCGCGGACTATTTAAAATCGCAATACTTGACGAGTAAAATTTGCGACGGAATAGTCGACTGTTGGGATTTTTCCGATGAGAATAGATGCGGTGCGTATAGGTATGCTTTGCGATCTCACAAATTATATTTCAAAAAGAAACTTGCTGACGTTTCGCCATTCATCCCGTTGGCCTCTTCGGAGGTTAACTGAAACTGGCTCCCATTCTGTTCTGTTCTATTACATACTGAGGGGCTGGAACTATAGATTCTCGATTTTTTTTTTTGATAGAAGAATTGATTTGAGTTGATTTTTCAAAGAAACATCCACAGAATACTGTAATGCTTTTTACAAAACTTTGTTTAGTCGAAATTGCTGACGTTTCGCCAATCTTCCTGTTGGCTTCTTCAGAGCTCGACTGAAACTGAAACATTTATAAACAACCGACGCCGCAGGAATCCAGAAGATTTGTAAATAATAACACTTTAATTATTTTTGAGATCCCAATGTATGTATACTAATACTAATATCGGCCAAAATATGCAACAAATTCATTTAAAAATGCTGGCACATGTCAACACCATCTTTTTAGATCCATTTTCGAATTCTGTGTCAAATTTCACGCATAATTCATGAGCAAAGGAATAAAAAACAAAACTTCATTTTGAAACGGCGCATCTAAATGAAAAATGAGAGAAAATATATACAAACGGGGCATGTAAAAGATCATCTAGAGCCAAATCGTACAAAAATTAAAGATAACACACGATTAAATATTTTATTAGAAGTCGAGGATAATGTTCATCATACATCTTCTCAAGTAGCTTCAATACTACGGGAGCTGAACGAAGATTATTCGTACCTTAGACTACAATTTTGTGAAAGTGTGATGGGAATGTGCAACTTAAATCCATTTTAAATAGTTAGATACTGTTTAGCGATGAAGTTACGTTTTTTGTTTCAATGGAATGATAAATAAAGTTGCAGCTGTGGGACTTATAAATAATCCCCGATCATACACAAAAAATAAATGTCTGGGTATGGATTTTGAATAACAAAACAATTCGACCATATTTCTTCGATCAAAATTTTACTGGAGCCCGATATTTACAATTTCTTCAATACGCCAGATAGACAGATTAGTTTCCTACAGGATCGTGTTCTGCGGTATTTAAGATGGTTGGATGATTTAATATTTAGAATTAGATACGAAATAAGGCAAATGTGGAAGGGTTTTTGAATCGATTGGTTTTCAACATTTTCAACACCTAATGAAATTATTTGTTTGATGACACAGAATTCCAAAATGTATTTTAAAAAATGATGTTTTAAACTTGGTATCGAACTCTACTTTTCGACTCAGCCTGTATATTTACTGTTATGATGTACGTCTGCCAGCATTTTTCTTGAAATCCAATACTCGATTTTAATAAATATTTTAGCCGTTCACTGTATGTATATGTATTATGTCGTTCAGATTGGTGCGAACCGAACCAATACGTGTGCAGCAACTCCAAGGTTTGCATCGAAAAAGAAAAAATCTGCGACGGTTTAAGAAATTGCCCGCAAGGCGACGACGAACGCCAATGCGTAACCGTCGCACCCGATCTTCGAAAAGCCGATGAGTTTCCATATTATTCTGACGGTAAGCGATCATTTGATTTTAAACCTTTAAAAAAATGTTTTTTTTTCTCAGGCTACTTGATGGTTCGAAAACTGGGTAGGTGGGGCAAATTGTGCATAGACAATTTCGAAAACGTGGTATCGAATTCTCGTATATCGTGGGAAATCGAAGATCTCGGAAAAGCGATCTGCAAGTCGATGACTTATCAGTAAGAGCGGATTGACTATGCTGACCGGTGGGTATATATGGGTGCTGATTTTTAGATACATGGAAAGCATCGTGGGCGCCGAAGAATCGGAAAACGAACGGGAACAGATGTATTTCGAGCTGGTATACACAACGCAAGACAAATCGAAGTCTAAGTCGAGTTTATCGTTTAAGGAGACTAGTTGTCCAGCAAAGAAAGTAGTAAAAGTTTCTTGCCAGTCCTTAGAGTGCGGCGCTCGGCCTCAAGCTATCAAGCATATTGCTAGGCGAGTTTTTATATTTGAAAAGTGTATTTAGGGTTGATTTTTGCCACAGGACGCTGCCCGTCAAATATTATTATAAGTTTGTTCAACCCCGCTTCGAATGGCTTAAATTCTCATTTTTTAATTTATTTATTTAAGAAGAAAGGCTAACCCATTACAGAAATGTCTTCACCTAAATAGTCTAACTGAAGACGTTAATAATTATACATAATTAAACTATAATAGACTTAGGGTAGACCTGATAAATAAAAATTATTGAAAAAGGTCATCACAAAATGCAACTAGTTTAGTAAAGAGTTCCCGCAGTGATTTGTGTTAACCTTTCGATGGAGAAAAGTTGACTCGGCCTTTTAGTATAGGTTTCGCGTTTATGAAAAAAAAAAGCTACGAGGAAAGCACATTTAAAATTATTGTTAAGACACTTATATATAAAAACTATATCCAGATATTTCCTAGGATCTTTTGGACCTTTTTTTTATAATCGTACTTTTTCAACTTGGTTACTATACAGTCAGTATACAGTCAGTCATATTAGTGTGCAACATATGAGATTTTTTGCTACTAACTGGACAACTAAAATACTATATCATAGAGGGTGGGACAAATATACAAAAATTGTCCAAAAGTAAAGTAGCTTTATTTCAAACAAAATGTTATTAATCAAAGTTGTTTACTATTAAATGGTATGCCTTAATATCAAAACAGAGATTAATCAATTAATATTTTTAAATACTTTCGCAAATTATTCAAAATCAAAATCAATCAATTCATAACAAAATTAGCAAATTTTTGTTCCAATTCCATCTTATTTGTCAAATTAACTAAGATTTTAATTGCTTTAGCAAAACACAAATTTTATCTTGCTTGCATTTTAAGAATTGAAATAGCATTTTTTTTATTTTTAATAGTTATTATAACAAAAATCTGCTAATGTAATCGCAAATAACCGTAAAACACTAAGTAAAATAAACAATAATACACAATTTAACAAAATAAAAAATAAAATAAATAAATAATAACAAAAAAGGGCTTTTTTGACATCCGTATAATCCGAAATTTCTTAGGTGGATCTTTTGGGGTTTTCATCAACAACTTGAAGTACTTTTAGTTTAGTTTCTTCATTACATACAGTTTGAAGACGTTTATTGCTAGCTTATTTATTCCCGTGAATTTAAAATGACTTAAAATCCTACCAACAGTTGAATAGTGAATTTGTTTATTCATTGAACATCTCTGCTGCTTCATGCGGTGATTTGTAATTATCTCCACGTATCAGAACTAACTCTGCTTTCTTAGATGATGTTACCTGGCTTGAAGGAGGCATTTGAAATAAAGTTCCATAATTATGCAATTATGATTTGACAATCAATGTCAATAGGCTATCATAATGTTTACTTTAGAGTCTCGTCTCTTAATATCATGAATATCGGCGATTATTTAAATTTCATATTAGCCATATCCTACGTGGAATGATCTCCTGAATCCAAAAATGCAAAAAAATATATATTGGGCCATTTAAAATTCGAAAGTTACCGTCGTTTAAGCTCAAACCGGAAGTGCAACCATTGACTACATAGACTACATAAACCCATTTTCAACCACTTTGTATAAATAAAGCAAAGCGGGGGCTGAGTGACCTTTCTCGTCTTGTTTTATGTCGGCGGTTGCATAAACAGTGTCACTTTTAGGGTTGTCGGCGGTGGAAACGCTGGTCTAGGGGCGTGGCCGTGGCAAGTAGCGCTTTATAAGGAGGGTGAGTTTCAATGCGGGGCAACGCTTTTGTCCGATCGCTGGCTCCTGTCCGCCGGCCATTGTTTTTATCGGTAGGTTCGTTGATTGCTTTCGAGTTTAACGATAGCATAAGTGGAGGGTGATGGAGAGGTTTAAATGTACATAATTGGTAGTTCGTCGGGGGAACATTGGGTCGCGCGTCTCGGCGCCTTGCGTCGCGGCACCAATCTGCCGTCGCCTTACGAGCAACTGCGAAACGTCATCCGTATAATCGTCCATTCCGGTTATCTAGATTTCGGGTTTATAAATGACATATCACTGTTGCAAATGGACCGTCCCGTTGTTTTCAGCGATTACGTCAGACCCGTTTGTTTACCCCAGCCCGATCACAATCTTGAAGACGGACGCCTCTGTACCGTGATCGGCTGGGGTCAACTGTTCGAAGTCGGACGTATCTTTCGTAAGTAGTTAAAAGTCATTTTCTAACTTTCATTTTTCTAAAACGCGATGTTTTAGCTGACACCCTCCAAGAAGTACAGATCCCGATCATATCAACCCTCGAATGTCGAAAGCGAACGTTATTTTTTCCGTTGTACAAAATCACCGACGACATGTTCTGCGCAGGGTACGAAAGGGGCGGACGGGACGCTTGCCTAGGCGATTCTGGCGGACCGCTGATGTGTCCCGAGCCTAACGGCCGTTGGACTTTGTACGGTGAGGATTATCCGGCGCAATAATCAATTTTTTATTCGAAATATAAATATTTTCAATATTATTCGCAGGTATAACCAGCAACGGATACGGTTGCGCGAGAGCTAACCGCCCGGGGGTTTATACGAAAGTGGCTAATTACGTCGAATGGATTTATGCGTACGTTAACGGGGACGCAAATACATTGAGGAATACGACAAAAATTGTGACGTCCTGCTCCGGGCATCGTTGCCCTTTAGGCGAGTGTTTACCGGAACGTAGATTGTGCAACGGTTTTATTGAATGTAGCGACGGGAGCGACGAAAAGGGTTGTTGAGGCCACCGGATAGCTTTTTTCTCAGACGGTGTGGTGTGGTGTTATAATATAACAAATTGTGTACATAAAGAAAAATGAATCCCGTTTTCAATGAGCTGTTTTTTTTATAATAATAATAATCTTTATTGTCTAACCGTTATAATATCCAATGACTAAACAATTAATTCGCCGTTACCAGGTCAACAAAAACAAATCATGAAAATACAGAATACCGAATATGTACTAACAAACAATAAAGAAAAGAACAACTCAAACAAAAGCAATCATATAAAGAACTTTATATGTATAAAAAAAAACAAAACTCGAAACCAAAAAGAAATGACACCTGAAACGTAACAACGCAGCTTTTAATGGCAAAGTAGGCAGGCAGGTTCGAAAAATCCTGAAAGCCTTCTAGAGCCGAAATTAATGTTCCCAAATCCCCTATTTACATAGTATTTACTATTTTTTATTTATTTATAATGCTTTTAAACTAATAGCTTAATAATTATCAACAGAATAATATTTTTTTATGCACAGTGAACGACTGAAATATGAAACAAACTAATTTAAGAATCGGGGATTGGATTGCAATGCAAATGCAATTGAAAATGTCCATTCATTGAAAAAGTGGACCAAAAAAATTGTAGAGGGTTTGTTGCCCAACTTCAGGTTAGATCTAACGTAACTGAAGTAGAGTGCCTTCAGTGCTTCTTTTTTTTCAAAGAAACTTCCACGGGCTACTGTAATACTTTTTACAAAACTTATGGATTCCTCCTGCGTCGGTTTTTGCTGACGTTTCGCCAATCATCCTGTTGGCTTCTTCAGAGCTTGACTGAATCTGTTTCAGAAAGAAACATTGAACTTCCCATGCTGAACTTCTGCTATTAAATTTTTAACCTGATACATTGACCTCTCGAAAGCCCTCGCAAAAGGTGCTAATATAGTTATTTCGCTTTTTAAAGAAGTAGCCTCCTTCTAACTATTAGGCGATTAGTGGGAAAAATTTACAGGTATTCTGCAATTCTTGCAAAAACGACTTACCTACCTTTCCCAAAAACGGAGAATTATTAATTTCCTCAATTATTTGTTCAAACATTTCTTTGCTAGTGTCCTTAAATATCGAAGAATTTTTTAGGTGCTCATTTAGAGTTGTATTTAACTCAATGTGAAAAATTAATAACTCCACGTCATGTCATTAAAAGGTAAGACAAGGGTTTGAGCAATAGAAACACACAATCCCTAATCAACAAGCAGGACGACAGTACAATTTATTCTTTGATATTTTCAATACTTGCCGTACTGTATCATCCGAAAGTGTGATTATAACAGTGCATGACTACTTTGCCCAGAGGCCACAGGATGACTTAGCCCAGATGGTGCAGCGAAAACACCACTAAAATAATCGGCAAAAGAGTTTGCTATTCCAGCAGGATCGCCATCTTCAAGCGTGGGGATTTTTCCAAATTAATAAAAGACCAAAACTCACTTGGGTCATTAGATATAGAATTCTCAACTTTAGCTAGATAATGATGCCTATAGAAGGGCAATGTTAATCGGTGTCTTAATATTGGAACGTAATTTGTTGTACTGGCTTTTATAAAATTCAAGTTACCGTATTTTGGTATCTATTTTGGTTTTTACTTGTGTTCATTGTCAGTAAGAGAAGATACTTATTAACGATCTGTCAGAGGCCATGTTGGTCGGACCTTTTCAAAAATTTTTTCGTAGTAGCTTCATAAGTTCCTGTTTATCGGCATAGAAGGGCCTGTATATCTCTAGTATGGTATGAACAGATGTTTCACTCAATGAAAATATGTATTTGTTGCTTTAACAGACATATGTATTAAACCCAAATGACGAAAGAAGAAAACGTCGATATCTCGTATATTATGTGATTATCTCTGACGTTTCGTTAAATACTTACCTTGTATTGGTTTGAATAAATTAAATAATTAGGTCTGAAATAACAGGCATACATTCGTTTAAGGTTGCTTTATTTTATCACAGATAAAATTTTTCGTGGAAAACAAAAATAACTTTCAACATTGCTTGAATTAAAAAAAAAGTTGTATATCTATATCTAGTGTATATCTAATGTAAATAATGTGTAAATTTCCGATGGATCCCCGTCAATAGTTTGCAAGCAAAATTACGACGAAAGAATAATATTAACAAACACGCAAAATCAATAACGAATATAAAATGGCTATCAACAATAAGCTACAAATAAAATAAACATTATCCCCAGCTATCGATTAGTTCAACTCGTTTCGTTTATTAAGGTAGACGCACTTTTTTGATGATCTTATTCGAACCGGTAAAAAAACATCATCAAACGTAATAGAGCTTTTCCGGGAAGTTTGTGTTTGAATTGTCGAATGATTATACGAAATTTTACCGTCGGTTAATCTATCACCGTCAAATTCGTACGCGTCTTTTTAATTGGGTCGGTTTTAAAATTGTCAAAAACATAATTTTTGGAACTGTACACTAAACTAGCAAACTCGAATTTAGGAACATGCACGCGCAAAAATAGAAGTCTCTCTAAATAATTTAAAAACTTGATATCGTTCAATACTGATTGAGAAAGGGAATGTGGCCCCTATACGGAGTGTTGTGCATTACGATCGCAGCAAATGGAACTTAAAAAAAAGTGTTGCCGATGCCAATTCAAATAGTTTTCAAGGAAGGACAATTAATTAAATTATTATAGCATAGAATAGAAGGCACTTCATAGAAATGTTAAACTCTAACCAAATGCGTTTAATGCAATTTGAGTGTATTTTTGAAAATTTCACCATTTTTTTCAAATCCCATTTGTTCCAAATATGACACCCCGCACAGTATATACCGAGTGTCGCCTTCACGCTTGCGGCTTGGGCGTCTGCATTTCTGTCTCTTCGTCTTCGGTCGTCTCGTAAGCTGGATTACACATGGAATCCTCGTATCCCACGGGAGGTATGTCGTGAACCGGCAACGTTTCCGGTGTGTTCCTCAAGTTGATATTGTCGAAACCGTCCGGCGGTTTGCTTTTGTCCTTTTTAGCGATGTCGGTGCCTTCGGAAGGACGGTGTTTCATGTACAGGTGGTAAAAGGCGAAATATATCAACCCGGTCACTAATGCTAGTAAGGCGAACAGCTGGAACGTATGTCGGATACCGATAGGTTTGATCAAATAACCGCCGATGAAACTGCCGACGCCCTTTCCTGAAATATTACCCAGTAGCACGCGTAAACCAGTGCGCAACACTTTTGTTACGTACCCACTCCGTAGTAGAGACCACCGAGCATTCCTTGGATACTCGTATCGGTCGTCACTGTTGATAATTTCGCTGCGTAAGTCACTGCGGCGGTAAAACTAAGACCGAATGTGATACTTTCCATTGCTTCGAACACGAGACAAAGCCAGGGGTTGTAGATCAGCGAGTAGCCGAGCAATCTTATCGCGAAAAATATGAATCCGACGAAGATAACGTTGGCGTGACCTAGTTTCTTCACTATAGGGCCGGAAAGAACCAACAGAGGAATACCCACTATTCCGCCAACTGTTATGGTGAGACCCATTAACGATTTCGAGCCGCCCAAGTCTTCCAGAAGCCAGAACAGGAAACTTTCGATGAAACCCCAGGCACTGCCTGGAACACACATTTTCCCTAAGAACAAAATGGAGTTTTCGGGGGGCGGATTTACCTAAAACCAGGCAAGAAATGAACAAAGCGATTAATTCTAATTTCTTCAGCACTTCGATGACGTCCGTTACGATGCTTTTGGCCGCCTTCTTGAATTCTAAGTTTATGAACAACATAAACACACCGCTCACGATTTTTAAGCCCGCGTATAGGAAGAAAATTGGTCTGAAACGACAAGTTTTTGCAGATTATGCAAACATAATCTAAGCGGTCAGTAATACCTGAAATCGGTGTATCCTTTCCCTCTGCTGGCGTAGTCAATCATATATCCCGAAATCGGTGAGCTAATCATGCCACCAAAATTGGCGTATATGCGTTGCAAGCCGTAATCTGCCTTGTGCTCCCTGAGAATTGCGATGACGGCCCCTTCGAACATGGCGAACGAGGTACCGCTGACGATGCCGACGAACACACGGATAACCAAGTAACTCCAAAACGTCAATTGCATATCCAATTCCATGACGGTTTTTCGATTGGAACAAACTTGATTCCGAGGACTGGTGACGAGACATTTCTTGGCGCAACTCCCCAAATCCAGGTGTCGTATTTTCGAATCGTTATTGCCCTTCAACGGCACTGTGACGATGACTTGTTTTCGCGACAGATTTTCGTTGGTCAAGCAGCTCACGTTCTGTCTGTTTTCCACTCGATTTATGAGGAAACTTCGTCTCCGTTCTTCGAAATCGTCGTGGGATATTTCTTCCACGGCCAGGGTCGCTTTGAAGGTCGCGTTAATTTTTTCGAAATTTTTGAAATGGTCACCGTAGCCCATCATGCAATCCGCGCGCCCTTCGTCCCCGATGTCGCAGGAAAAATTATACAACGATTGCGACGGAAAATATATCACGCGTTCCGTAAGCTTTCTGACGGACGTTAAGTATCTCTCGTTGTTTTTCAGCGTTTTGTGGTTTCTGGATTTCGAAAGGATCTCCGGCTCGTGAATATCGTCGTCCTCGGGCGTGTAAGCGTAGGACAAGGAAGATTGATCGGATAAGTCCGTTATCTTGATTTCGTATCGTTTTGTGTTTAAAATCGCGTTGGTGTAATTATCCTCTAGAATCACGCTGCAAGCAAATCCGCAGGATCGCAAAGTTAGTTCCGCTTCTATCGAATTGTTGTGGGGGTTTAAAGTTGTACACGAATGCGCCTCGTTTAGCGTCAACGAAGGAACCGAATTTGGAACGCAACTCAGGCCAAATATTACATCATTGGGGAATGTAAGTGTTACACGTCCAACAGGTACTAGAAGCAGCAACATCGCCGATGCTCCTCCGACTACTGAGAATGCAGACAGTAACAGCTAAAACGTCAGGGTAGATTTCCTCAGTTTTCAACTCCAATTTGATTAATTGATTATTGGGACGAAAGTTTGGTCCATTTCAAGGCAACCCACAAAAATTATGGCATTACTTAACATTTCGTACCTTTGCAAGGTTTTTATTTTTTATTTGGTTTCCAAAAAATACTTGTAAACAGTAAAAAAAAAATAAAAAAAATAAAAATCCGTCGAATGGTACCCGCAAATGGTCCGCGAATTACTAGGAACACTGTGTTGCTGATTACAGACGAGTAAAGATTTTGTTTATATACCTCAGACGTATATCTCTGCAGAGACTACCTGAAGAACGTCACAATAAGGAATTCATGGCGAAACATCAAAATATAATAAATGAAAAGTCCAATTTAACTTTTGTATTTGACTTTTTGTTCAATCTCTTCTAATTCCTGGGAGAAGGTAGCGATGCCTCATACATAGTACATACTTTGTATTTGATATTCTTTTAGAGAATTTACGGTGGTTCTTAATTAAAAAAATAATATCCTCTATACTGGCACAGATCCTGTACTTTGACTTAGTTTTGTAATACCCTTGCCCTAGATAAAATTCATAAAAAAATTAATCAGAAATATCAACATCAAACGCCTACGAGCGGACTCGTTTGTTACGTAAAAATCTTGGTATATTCCTGGAAGCGTCCTAAAGCAAAAATAAAACAAAAATATGAATAAAACATTTTTTTCTACTCCCGTCTAATTACACACCGACTTAGAGTGCGTGAAGCGTCGCTTTACCACGTCAGTTTTGTTTCCCACGAATGCGGATATTTCCGAGATTTTACCGCACGGGTTTGGGAGCAAACGGATGTTTTCGGAAATATTTCCCACGGTTTGAATTTTGACGTTTGTCAATTCTGTCAGTTCTGTCAGTCTGTCTGTTTGTCAGTGAATGAATTCGTATTGTTTGGCGAAAATGTACCCAAAAACTAACGGATGTAGAAAAAGTATAGTATGCACTCGTTTATTAAACACTCGCTCCGCTCGTGTCAAATAAACTCGTGAGTCAAATGCCGTTTACCGCACTTGTTGTATAATATACTAATCTGCACCTGTTTTATCTAAAAATGAACCAAATAATGGTTACCTAATAAAGTGACCGTGCATAATAAACACTTGACGTTTGTTTTGCGATGTTTTATAGTTCGCTGGTCGGTCGGTAAGCGTGATCGTGTGTTACCCGTTTTTCCGAGAAAAATTCGTTTAGTTTTAGTGCCGTGAAGTTGTCAATTATTGCCGGTGAGTAAAATGCCGTTATTTATATTTTATTATATTTATTTATGGTTATTTATAGTGTCGGTTTAATGGCAAACGCAAAATATTTTACGACGTTTTCGATAGGTATCGTGCCCCTGTTTTTTGTATCGACTATTGTGCTAGGCAACTTTTTTATGATCGTGTGTGCGAAGGCACGCACTACGGTTTTTCGCTCACGTTTCGTAGGACCATTTGGTAATATATGCGGCACAAAAACAATTATTTAGTGCTAGGCTCCGTTATCATGACTTCATTTTGCCGTTCGGAAACAATGCCTTTGTTTGAATAGGCAATAACGTTGCCAGGATATGGACGGAAACGCCCTAACCGTGTCGCCACATTTGGGCCTATATAAAAAAAAAATTCTTAATTTCGTGGTCGCTTCGTTTAGCCTACGGAGATTGTCTCAAAAAACATGGTTTATATAGGCTTTTATTGAAATTTCCTAACATCATTTATATATACGTATTCTAACGAATAATATTATTCAAGATATGTACGGCACTGACTTTTTTGCAATTGTTATTATTTACTTTGGTGCTCAATTTTTTTCAAGCAAAGAAACAAAAATCAGGGGCAATGATGGCCAAACGTTTTTCTTTTTGTAAACACTTTGGTTACAGAAACCAAAATGAAGACCAAAGAAAATGTTGAAAATGACTACCATCAGCTTAATTTCAGTTGTTTTTCTTTAATATTGAACACCCCGTATCTCGTAAACCTCGCATTTCCTGGCTTACGTTTATTTGAACTTTTTTTCTATTTTTTTCGATCGAGAAACGTTGACGCGCGCTTTTTGAATCACCCTGTACATAGATCCGCAAATTTTAATAATTAGCAATAATTGTCAACCATTTGGAGTTTTTTTTTTATATATTTTCAATTGAAATGTTACTAGTGCGGGAAGTTGGTTGGTTATATACAATCTACAGGGTGTCTCAGTAAATGCAAAAAGGGGCGTTATTAAGGAAACTGACGGTCTTAGGAAATTAAAAAAAAAAAGTAAATCGACCACGAGAAAATGCTGGAAATTATTTTTTACTTTCTGAAATGGCTACCAGGCTAAAAAAAAAAGCTGTTATTTGCTATTGTTAAAGTGAGTACTATTTTCAGAAAAATTGAAGGCTGTTTCTTCTATCTCAGGAAGTAAAATGATTGAGGGTGTTTTCTTTAATAAATTCCTATGCTATCAATCGTACTATGACAGCTCAACAACTCTCAAATAGTGAAACCGCATGTCAATTTCTTCATTCTAACGTAAAATAGGAATAAAATAATTTAACGCCCGACTTTCGGTAAAAATCTCCAGTTTGTTGGTTTGGTTGGTGTCTAACAATTCATTAGTAACCGAGTTAGTGATTAAACCCAATTTTTAATTAAAAATAATAAATGTTTCAAAACCGCTGGACATGTTAAAACGTAGATGTTAGTTTAATTACTTCAGTGCACTTCCAAAGGATTGTGAAAAAATAGTAAAAAAATAACATCTCATTTCAATTTTAAACATCACTTGGCATACTAAATAAAAAATTTGCATTTTATTTGGTAAATTCGGGACAATTGACATTAAGAAGAATCCGTAAAGATTAAATTATCCCCAAAATCCAATTTTCTTTCGAGCTTTCTTTTAAAATTATATTTGTTGTGTTGTTATCTAACAATCTAATGACAATGAAAAAGTCATACCCTTCCATTTAATCTTTTTTCAAATATTTTATTTTGCGATTGTGGCAGAAAACGACCTGGTGGCAGGGCAGGGTAAAAAATATTAAACTTCGTAAAAAATGTGGACACTTATTTAGTAAAATATTCACTCTCCTGTCAGAGATAGAGCCAATCAGAATTAAACAAAAAAAGATTTGAATTTTTCTGAGCGTAGTTTAACTATAACAAGATCACAATTAAGCACCCTGGTGGCCATTTCAGAAAGTCAAAAATAATTTCTAGCATTTTCTTTTGGCCCATTTACTTTTTTTTTTAATTTACAGGCCAAGTCGTTGCCAAAATAACGTACCTTTATTGTAATGGTACTTACTGTAAAAATATTTACTCACTCACTGACAATCTTTACACAATTTGTCGATTTAGTTTCGGTTTGGGATTTATTGTTAGTTACATATGGCGTTATATACTCACTCGGAAATTTCCAATTTTATCTGCTATCATGCCGGCTAATGGTGGCATGAGAATTGCCACAGCGGGTGTTACCCCTGACATTATGGCTGTTTCTTCCGCGTTAATTCCCAATTCTCTCATATGTATCGTCAAATACGGATACAATACCAATATTGCTAAAATGTTACGCCGGTTTTGTTTTGAGGTTAGTTTAATGATACTTACTTACTCGAAGAGTGCATGAAAAACAAAAGCTTCAAGGGCAAAAGCTCTTTTTGCTTGAAGTCTTTGGCGATTCGGTGAAAAAATAGTTTCACGTATTTGTTCATGTTGTTGTTTTCGTTTTGTCCATTAATTCTGCAACAAAACAAATACCGGTGGGCTTTTTTTGTAATACTGATTATTGTTGGGGATCATGGGAACCACCCGTTACCAATTGCTTACAAATTGTCCAAATTATAACCAACTATTATAGAAAAACGATCGTTAGTTATATAGTTAATTATGCAGATTGTAATATTTTGCAACCCGGAGTGCATAGTTTGCTTCTAATTGATTTAAGCAAAACCGGTAAGCTGCAGTACTTTCGTATTTGGCAGTAACAAAATACTATACGTTGCGCAAAATTCGAACACTATTAAACTTACTGCGATTGCGGCAAAACGCAATCAATGCCAAATATTTGTAACTTAATTACTCGTTTTAAGACAAACGTCATAGGATATGGCGGAAGGAACCTTGTCCGCTATTACAGGTATATTAACGGTTTGTATACACGAATTGGAAAAAATGTTCGCCGTCCGTATTGTATAATCTGTAAGTCAAATAAAAAATTGACGACTGTAGCTGTATACCGCTATCTCATTAAAATCAGTTTTTTCTTTCTTCGTCGAACAAGTTTTGCGAAGACGAACGTCGTTCGTATGAAACAATGTAGGTACCTAATTTTCTGCATATAACAATGAATCATCAGAAATAATTCCTTGTATTTATAAACAGGTAAATTTTGCCCGAATTGTCCTGTTTATTGACTTTGCATATCCATTTATTCAAGGCTCCATCATTTAGCGTTGAGTCGTCGACGAAATTTGTCTAGTCCCACTTCGTATGATTATCTCGTCTATTAGTCGATAATTTTTTGAATGCAATCAGCTTTCTCATGGGTTCAAGTATTTTTGCTTGTATTCCACATTAGAAGGAGACTGTTAAAAAACGAAAAAGACTGACGCACATCGAAAAAAATGCCATTGTTCAAGTGCAAAGTTAGGTATTTGATTCAGTTCTCTGTGAATTCTTACCTTACATAACAGCGATGTTGCAAACGAACCTATTCATTTCGTATAAACAATATTAGAATGTTTGCGATGTCAGCAAAATATTCGTACGATGACATTTTTTATTATTGGCTTGATAGTTTTTCCTAATGGATTTATCGCTATGCGTCCTCTCCTCTCTGTTCTTTTCCCAGCAGAATGGAAACGCTTTAAGCGAAATAAAATTGAAGACGATAATAGTTTCAAGGTAATGATGACCTTTCCTGCGATTGTGACGTTTTATCGGGATGAAAGTCGTTTTTCGCGTTCGCTTTGTAGATTAAATTTTTTAAACGCGTAACGCCAAAAAGTGTTTTGAGTTTGGATTTCGCTTCTCGTTGTTGGCACGGTAAATAAAGCAACTTTAGTTGATCAAGCCGGATGATTACCGGTTTGGCAATATTTTTTTACCTATCTCGTTTTGATTCTTCTCATTTTACTGCCGCTTATTCAAGGATTTGCCGCTTCTCCACCTTGAGTGCGTTATATGAAAAATGCTTTAATTATATTATTTTTACTGCTGTTTAAGGCTGCGTAATATTTACATTGTGCCTTTGCAAAAATTAGAGAAAGGCGGATCGTTTCTTAAAGCATTAGGAGTGCATTAAGGAAACGGGAAAATTCCACGTATTCTTTAATTCGGGTGAGAGGTCAATCATACTTTCTCATTTTCAAATACAACGAAAATAAATGTTGGATCTACCGATCGGTGATTTCACAACGTGTTAATTTCAAATGAAATATAAATATTTTCGTGGTGTCATGTAAGTATTCAGTGTTTCTTTGACATTTCAGATGTTTTTCTTTATATTTTAGAGATGCAATATTGCTTTCTAATTATTTATTTATCGGAATTGTTTCCGCATTGCGGCTTAGTATTTTCCGGGTAAAAATGTTAAATATGTTGCTGAAGTATAAATCAAGCTGTATTTGTTAATAAAGGTAAATAGGAAGAAATCTACGCTAAAGTTGTTGATTAACAGCGGTTTATTTACGTTGTTTTTAGCGCCATTTGCGTAAGCGGACTCGAGGAGTTTTTATTTTTCATCTTGTGGTCAACAATTTATTAATGAAAAAATTTTTCCTATAACCCTATAGTTACGTTTTTCGCCTAAAATCTCTAGTAATAATATTATCGACACCTTAGTAAATAAATATGTACTTACCAAAAAATTATTGGAAACAACTATTGGAAATAAATCCCACCGGGCACAAGAAAATCAACTGTTTTTCGCACGACACGCATGTAATTAAATCGATTGACAAAATTAAAAATATTCATAAAATTAAAGTCTGTCGACTTGAAAAGCCGGATCGGCGTAAAACTAACGTGTACGGTGGGTTCGTTCTATTCTGAATTTGTCGGGTGCTCGACCATACGACGATTCAACTGCGAGTAAGTAACTAACTCTCGGCTAAAAACTGGGGGGCAATTTCCAATTTGTTTATCGAGTAATTGCTCGACCGATCATCGTCCACTGACGATTTTACCTTGCTTGTTTTTTGAAAAACGATTTTCCATTTTTCTCGACTCGCATTTGAGCGTGTTCTGTGTTGGGAAATTATATAGACATCGCTGTAGTTGGATGAAGAAAAATTTTATATATTTCAGTATGTTTTTTTACCTTTACTACGTGGGTTGGCTGTAAGTTTCGGTTGTTTTTTTTTTAATAAATTTTTATGGTTTTTTAGTTTTTGATAATACTCGGAACAAACATAAATAAAATAATGTGTATGAAGCCAAACCAAAAAGCCCTTTTTGAAATTGAGATTCACATGGGCAGTATTATTATTTTATGAATTATATTTCGGCCTTCTGTTAATGCTTTATTAAATGTTAAAGTTCTCTGTCTGGCACGTCCACCAAGTTTTAAAATAATACTGAGAAATAGCGCAAACAGGATTTATAGCGATTTTCCACATATTTTTGCGCTCTACAATAAAGCAATTTGCGTTTATTCAAAAACTTTTTCAACAATTACGCTGGGTTTTGAGAGCACAAAATAGTGAATTGAGGTCCATTGTGACAGTTTTTCAAAGGCTGCATTTGTAATGCATGCAACGAAAGATTAATAATCCAACGGAAACTTATGATTTGTATTTTGGGGTAACGGAAAATCGACGACCGATGTGAGCCGACCGGTTTTAGTACCATCTGCTAATTATATATGGAAATACTAGATTTTTTTGAATTTCCACCAGAAATAATTAGATTCTCTTTAAACAAGTTGCTAGATTTACTAAACTTCGGTCTGTTTAATGAAATTTCTTTACATTTTTTGCTCACGGAATAAGAAAACTTCGTTAGCTAGTTAGTGGTAAAATTGTATGCAGGGATATACTTCGACCAGGAATATAGTGCTTTTACAACCGACGCCGTGATTAACTTTGCCTACTGTTTGTTACTCCAAAACCGCAAGTCCTTATAGAACACCCTACCGAGCAGACCCTTACCCGTAGCCATTCCAGGACCGTCCTAGGAATTTGTCTATTTACACTAACAAGCGGGTATAAGTATTTCACCGAGCACTTCTTGGAACATGTACATAAAAAATTAGTATAGAGTAACAATTCATAAATACGTACAGGTACATAAATACGTACTTACTGGAAGGATCACAGTCAAATACCTCCGTAATATATACGAACATATTGCAATTTAGAACGATTCATATCACCTGATGTTAAAATAAACGCTTCTACTTATTCGAAAATACCTCGCAGCATCAATGCTTAATCAAATTTAAACCAGTCCATTTACGTTTCCAATTAAAATTTCAAGTTTCTACAAATATTCGTTACGGTCCACCTCAGGCAAGATCTACTTAATGCAGAATAAACATCTGTTGGCATGGGTTTTACCACGATCCAGCGAAGGTCTGCACTTAAGGTACTGTAAAATACTTAAAACGTCAATGCAATAAATGCACTATATTTTTGGTCGCACAATATACCCCTCTTTAACCCAAGATAGCCAACCCGTTTAATCCATCAGTTTTTTTGTGGTTTCAGAACTCCAGGTTGGATTTTAGGATTGGTTAAAAAGAACTTATGTTCGTTCCACTTATAGTATCAATATATCTCGAAGCACGGACACTTGAACAGTATAGTTTTAATGTCAGGTTGCAGCACTGCAATATTCTTATTATTTGTACTGACGAATCTATATTCATTCACTCCTGCAGTTAAAATATTCAACCGAAAAACCACTCATTACTGGAGCTGGGAAAACAAGATTACTTTCGAAAAATCGTCGGTGGGGCAGGCGAGTTTGTCGCGCATAGCAGAAATATTTCGAAAAGAAGTCGCTTTCGTATAAAGTGACTTTCACGTCTCGCCGAACTTCAAAGGCAAATAACGATTTCCAATGATATTTTTTCAAATATCTCGCTCACCCGGTATGGTGGACCAAACCTGAAAAAATCCCTCCACACAATTTACGATACTATTCAAATCAAATTATCCCATCTTTAACAGTTTTTCAATTATAGCCAATAATTTACCCATAAAAACAGATGTTTTTGGGATCCTTTAGATTTTTTGTTCATAAACATATCTTGTATATAATCCGAACAATGTTGGAAATAGATGTTATAGCCCTGTAGCTCCCAACGTTTCCTGGTATATGAATTTTTCCAATAGATTAAATAGTTTTCGAGAAAATACTTAAAATGCTGAAAGCATGCAGTATAGTAATAATAACTGACGTCATGACGTCTAGATTGTGGGCGAGGAATGGTGATTTTCGTTTGAATTGTTGCAAATATTAAACGGAACAGTGTAAGTAATAGCTGAAAACCGTAAATACAAAAATTGTAGCTCTCTATGCGGCCTATAATACTGTTTGGAGAAATTAGAAATATTTTTTACGAATCTTTTAGATTTTTGTCCATAATTAAAAAACCCTGTATATAAGCGAAAAAATGTTTGATATAAAAGTTATAATACCGGATTTTCCGCGTCTCTTGGTTAAAGAATTTTGACGATAGGATTAATAGTTTTCGAGAAAATATTTTTTTCTGGACGCCAAAATAACCAAAAAATTTTTAAAAAATACTTGACGATATTTGACTTTTATACCTCTTGTAAATTTGAAGTCGATACAAACTGAAGACATTTGTTACATTTATTAATAGAGTACGAAATATCTTGAACACCCTATTTGAACCGATTGGCCATATTTTTTACGAATTATGATTTGCGGTTAATAATTTATTCCCAAAAAGTACAATTTTCACGGTCTTTTAGATTTTTTTCCACAATTGGAAATCCCTGTATATAATTGATAAAATGCCTAAAATAAAAGTCATAGCGCCAGATCTCCCGCATTTTTTGGCTCTAAAATTTTGCCGATCGATTGAACATTTTTTGAGAAAATCGTGTTTTTCTGAAAGACAAAATCAAAGAAAATTTTTCAAATTTTTAAAAAATATATTTGATAACATTTCATTATGCTCAATTTCTACTGTTTAGATATGCGTACTGACTTTTACTTCCTTGCCAAATTTGAAGTCAATGAGTAAATATTTGAAACATATATGATTTTTTAAACTATAGCACAAAATATTCCGAACACCCTGTTAAATACAAAAGTTTTAGCTGTCCGGACGGGCTATATAGAAATGTGAAAGAAACTGACAACTGAAGCACAGCCTTGAAATTATGGTCAATTAACATTATAAAGGGACCCCAATTTTCAGTTTTTTTGCGCATACCGGTCATATCCTGTACATTTTTTAAAATTATAAGGAATAAAGTTTTCTATAATTTAATTTCGCGAATATTCTCGTTCACAATCTTTTTACTTGGGCCCCTGCAAACGTGATTTTCAAATTTTTCAAAACACTTCCCGACTCGCCAGCCCCCCCAATCTCGACAGGTTCCATTAGAAATGCAAGCCCTATACGCAAAATTTCAATTTGATAGATTCAAATTTTCAACACTTATATACAGCCGAAAATTAAAAAAAAGAAAAACATGGTCGCTAAGGTTTCATTAGGGTCATTTTTAGAAATCCTGCGCACCCTGTTAAAAAACAGCAAAATTTTAACCGTCTCTCTCAAACCGTTCGGAAGTTATTGTCGGAAAAGTCCAGGAACAGACAAAAAAAAATTTTTTTTTTCGACGCTGTTTCATCGATTTTCCGAAAGTAACACGAAAAAGGCGATTGAAATTAACATGATTTCGAAAAACAAAATTGTACGCTCCGCATTTTTTGAAGGTAATTTAAATCCTCAGCGGTATCTTCAAGAAAACTTTTTTCGGGGGGTACTCTTAAAGGCCTAGTGCATCCAGACTGCATGCACTCCATGTACTGCCCAAAATGGAGGATATATAGAAAGAATCTTTTATTAATAAGAATTATTTTCATTTGTTTTAAGTTCACGTTAGTAGATTTCGTTTCTTATAAAAATGTTTGTAGGTTCCATTTCATTGTTCATTTGCTTTTCATGGTAATGCTAATAATATAGCCGTAGAAAATATGAGATCCTGACTGAGGTCTGTCTTCTTTCCTAGACTGTAGAAGTTTCAACTTATCTTCCGTTCTATTAATGAAGAAACACTTTTTCACTATACCGTAGACAATTTTGGAAATTGGTGTCAATAAGAATACGTAAGTTCTCAATGGTGATTTATTGACTTTAAGTTGTAGTTTTGATGTTCAAAAACTTATAATTGCCCAACGAAACGAAAAATCGAGGAAATTACAAAAATATCGATCGCGTACAACTTGTGGAAACCAAGGTGATTCATAAAAAAAAGGGAGAAGAACATTACTGTTATCTTACAAGATATATTAATGAGTATTTGCATCGCATTGCAAATCCCGAGGCGTTCATGTACAAAAACATTTCGAACACGTTCAAAACTTGGAACGAAACCGCGCCTTACAATTTTATACATCTTAACAATTTCTTATAAATAAATGGATATAGTTACTACTTGACAATTAATGTGAGTATAAGATATTATACATTCTGGACGCCACAACACTTACAGTCACTTTTGGAAAAAAATGTCCCGTTTCAAACTTATCCGTGCGAGTCTCGGCAAACACTTAAATAAACTAACACCATACGTGTCCTCGCAAGCGAATCGTGTTTATATTACACTGGGTTTTATACAAAAATATATATATATATATATATATAGGTTTATTTATAAGTTATTCAAAAGTGGGATCGAACATGTTCAAATCCCCGAACGTGGCGGCCCCGCCTCCATCCAACATTTGTAACATGTCCGATAACTCGTGTTGCGGCTGAGTGGGAGGTCCCGAACCGCTCGATCCTGGTCCGGCCTCAGACGTTTGAGCCGCTCCTTGCCAACTGGTCCATTGGTAGGATGCCGTCGGGGGAGGTCCGCCCGATGCGGATCGCGAACCTCCGCTTAGCTGAGTGTAAGTGGGTCCCGGCGATCTCGGGCTCGGCTGATTGTACTGATATCCGTCGGGCGCCGGTTGAGCCTGTCTTAGACTCCACGGCGCGGCCGCCGGTGTCGGACTAGTCGTACTTCCACCACCTTTGTTGAGACGTGCCAAAACGCCCGCGTTTCCCGTAGTAGCTGGGGTTTGCGATGGCGAGCCGTAGCCGATCGGGGATTGCGTCGTTTCGTAGTTGGTGTAAACGTTTTGGCCGCTAGCGGGACGTTGAGCGGCCGCTTGTTGGGGATCCGCTAGTAAACGCGGGAATCGTCCATCTTCTGTCCGATCGGTCGACATGGGAAGGTACTCGTTTTGTATGTGCTGTGACGGTAACATGTGGGTGTAGAGACCGGCGTCGCGCCTGTAATCCAGTCCCGGCTGTTGGTAGCCGACTTGTTCGCTCGTCGTTTCGGTGCCGCTCTCGCCACTCGAATGCAACGATTTCGCCGTCGTGTTGGTGCAGACTATGTATTCGACGTCGTCTGTATAAGGATTTAAAAAGGAAAACGCGCTCGTTCGCAGCCACACCCACTCTCGGTTTTTGGCCCTGAATCGATACATCACCGACAACACTTGTCCCTTGAGCTTCAAAACTGAAAGGACGATGACGACGGTCATTAAAAAGCGTGCGAGTTGGTTACGCGGTGGAATAACTATAGTTACCTTGTTCGAAACTGTCCTTCATATGTGTCTGATCTTCGGGATGGAAGAAATCGAAACAGCTTTTGCCCAACAGTTCGGGCGGCGAATAACCGAGTAATCCCATCACCCTCTGGTCGACGAAGGTAAATTTGCCACCCTCCGTCGAATGCCTCGATATGAATTCGGCGTTGCTGGTCGAGCCGGACATGTCGCTCGTATTTGGCGTCGATGTCACTTGCAGTCGCCCTATGGCCACCAAACTACAATGGGACGCGTGCATATCGTCTTCCGTTTGTCTGTCTATTTGAACCCCTGCGAACATATCTGATATTTCCAAATATTTATTATCGACTATTATTACAGAGCATTCGATATGAAAGTAATTTCATATGAAATTATCTGCAAAACTAACCTGTCGGGGGCCAGTTTTTAATATAACCGGTACAATGAACGACGGCATAGTTTTGACCATCGCGTCCTGGTCCTAAGCTATTTCTTTGTTTAAGGCGATTTAAATGCCCCACGGCCATGCTTTCGGGCGACATATTTCCTATTTTCATGCGACATATAAAACCTCGCCGCGTCCCCATGCACAACCTCATCGACGCTGAAATGAACAAATCCCGTTCGAGTCGTTTCATGAATAAATGTCATTTATCTACTTACATTGATGTCCCTCTTTTTTGACCGTGCCGCTCTTCAAATCCAGTATTCGACCCGTATTTTGCGGTTCCTGCGTCGACAATTGTTCCCTAACCTTTTCGACGTCTTCCGGGTGAATATTGTCGTAGATACACGAGCCGTACCAATCGGTCTGAGAATAGTTTAGAACTGGTGCCACGGAATCCGAAACGTATATAACTCGACCCGTATCGCAGCTGACAACGAATAAGAATCCATCCGCTGCTTCCAGTATCAGGTGTTTGAGTTCTTGGTCGGTGAGAAATGACGGTTTATATGTTCCGTCGGCGCTGGTGTTCCCGGTGCCTGGAAAAATCTATGTTTGAACACGTACGTGAACGCTATAATGATGATTGATTCAGTTGTAATTAGCATTTATTTACTCTCTCTAAAAATATATATTGGCAAGTACAAATACACCCTTTATTTTCGTTGAAATCACGGGATGTACGCCAAACTTACAAAACAAAACATATTATTTTCATTGTTTATTCTCCAGCGGCGTATTCCTCAACATCACAAAATGCCTTGACACGCTAATTACTCAACACAAATCGTCTTTAATATTTCAAGCAGGTATTTTATTTTAAATAAATTTTTTTACTTGCGTTCTTAGAAGAACGTATCGGATATGCAAAACGCATCGCGCATAAAAATGAAGCGAGAACAGTATTCTGATCTAAATGACATTCTTTGCGGGTTATTTTTGGCGCCGTAGACACTCTGTTGCTGTGAACTATCCGTTTGGGCTTTTAATTAATTAATTTACTGATATGGAAATAGCCAATAGGAATTTACTATCACGGGTTTTGTTATTGTACTCGCCAATAAAAGTCGAGGACGACGCCAATTTCCGTGGGGATTGGCTGGCCGTATTTAAAATGTTTGAAATATTTTCAACGCATTCTAAGTCGAAAAACATTAAATTTTACAAAATTGCAAACGACTTTTTACTTTTTTGAAATTGACTTATTAATTTCAGGTGAGGGAGCATGCAAGACTTCTTGTCCGGCACTTTACCGTTTGCGCGCAGGTAGGATTTTCCAACACTGACTGTTTCATCCGTGGGTATCTTCCCGCAGGATAATTCCTCCTCTGGAAGAGGACAAAGAAGATAGAAGGTAAGCTGCTTGAGTTATTTCTATATTATATAATATTCAAATTTCCTGGCATAATTCAAACCTCTACCTGCGCTTTTACGATATACTTTACAGAACTGATTTTAATACAGTGACCTAAATAGACAGCCAAATAGTTTTCAACAACAGCAAAACGCAACGTTCTGAACGCGAAGCAGACTATGTTTAGTTTTGGTTAGTTTCAAATACAAGAATTTGTAGAATGGAGACTTAAGGCATAGGTGAGAGACAGGAGCGCGTGCTTAAGCGATACAAGAGATAGACGGAGATTCAGACGTAGGTAAGAGACGGATTCAGGAAAGAGACAAACACCGGGAAGACTCAAACCTAGTTGAGAGAGAGGCGTAGGGTAAACCAACTCAGGAAAAAAGAGACAAAGGGGAGAGTGAGTAAGAGTGAGAGAATAAATTTGTTGTGAGAATGTGTTGCGAAAAGTCCTATGAGGATCTCTTGTGTGAGAGCACCTGTGAAGAACACCTGGGAGTATCTTGGGAAAATGATTTTGGAAAAAGCCTCGTGAGTGTATCTTGTTAGAATGAGGACGCATTGTTAGAATGTCTTGTGCGACCGCCTTGTGAGAGTGTTTGGCAACAATTTTATTTCGGTGTCTTGTGAGAGTCTCTTCTGAGAGTGTGCACTTGTGAGTGTGTTCTCTGAGAGTTTGTTCAGAGAGTGTCTTGTGAGGGTGTTCTGTGAGAGTCTTGTGAATGTGACTCATGAAGGTGTCTTGCGAGAGTTTCTTGGGAGCGTACTTCATGAGGCACAGACACCTCACAGACTTCGCAAAATATAAAATTTTCACCAGACAACTATTACTTAGCAGACACCTCACAGGCATCTTCGCAATATAAAATCCTCACCAGACACTTCACAGACATCGCCGTCAAATATAAAGTCATCACCAGACACCTCACAGACATCTTAGTAAAATATAAAGTCCTCACCAGACACCTCACAGAGATCTTCGTAAAATGTAAAGCACTCACCAGACATCTTCAGACATCACCAGACACCTCATGGGCATCGTCGCAAAATATAAAACCCTGACCAGACACCCCACAGGCATCGTCTCAAAATAAAAGCCTCACCAGACACCTTACACATTATATAAGCCTCAGCAGGCACCTCACAGGCATCTTCGCAAAATAAAACCCTCGCCAGACACATCACAGACATCTTCGTAAAATATAAAATCCTCACCAGACACCTCACAGAGATCTTCGTAAAATGTAAAACCCTCTACTGTCTACAAATGTATGATTGGTGATTTAGACATGACAAGTCGTTCTCACAAAACATTCTCATAATATGATATCCCCACGGCTATCTATCATAAAAAGACACTCTCGCAATACTCTCGCAGAATATCCTTACAAAAGACTCCGCAAGACGCAAAACTAGCACCTTTTCATTGCGGCCATTATTTAGACATTATGTAATTTACTTTCGCGTCTATTTAAGTGACTGTCGTGATTCGGCCAATTCTACAAATTGATGATTTCGAAAAGCTGATGATGTTGACATGAAAAGTCGTTCTCAGAAAATGATATACTCACAGACCATCACAAAGACATCTTTGCAATTTTGCTCTAAAAATTGATAATGTTGACCATGACAAGTCATTCTCACGAGAGGCTCTCACAAAACTATAAGACATTTTCATAACTTAATCTTACAAGATATTCTCACATGTGATTCTCACAAGTTAACCTCATAATACTGTCACAGAGATATACAGACAGATTAGACATGCAGCTACAGCACCTTTTCCATGCGGCCATTATTTAGAACCGACCTGGCGATGTTCAATTTTACTTTCAAAAATACTGATGTTTAAAAGGTTTTTGTTTTTTAGGGTTTTTGCAGTAGTTTTGCTGAAATTTTTGTTAGTGTTGTTAATGATCTTTGTTGATTTGCTTGACAAGACACAGAGCCAGGCAGACATTCACCGACAGACTCTCACAAGTCGTCTTAGAAGTCTTTCTCTCTCAAGACGGTCTTAAAATCCACCTCAAAAGAAGTTCTCGGACGTCATTCTCAAAAAATGTATGATGGTTTTGCAGTAATTTTGCTTAACGTTTTTGACATAGATTAACCGGGATATCGAAAGAGATTCACACACAGGTAGACACAAACAGAGGGAATGACGGACAAACATTAATATAAATAGACAGAGAAGTAGACACATATATTATAAAAAAAGTAAATAACTAGTTTTGATTAATTAAAGATTAATTCAAAAAGCAGCGCCCACACACACATACAAAACATTAAGCCACACACACGGTCAATTACCAAGATGATAATAAAGATTTGGATTGAAAAAAAAAAGATCACTCGGTTTGCCGTGCCTCGCAATAAATGAATATTATAAAAAATGCATTTCTAGCACTACCACATATGTTTTTAAGCGAGGTTTAAAAAAAATTAATGTAAATTCTTTCAAAAACTGCAGAAACGGTATCCAACGTCACGCGCAATAATTCACTTGGTACAGGCGTTCCGGATCCCAAATCGGGTGTAACGGTTACGAATATATAACTCAAATCGTTCATATACGGCAAAGAAATCTTTCCAATAAAGAACGCACGCAAAAGTTACCAAGCCACCTCTGGTACCACCGACGACGAGCTTTGTAACGGAGGTCTGGTCTCAACAGCCGTCTTTTGGTTTTGCTTGCTGCGATGCTATCGATCGTTAGTTATAGCCTACAGAATGCCTACTCTTCGCTAACCAGAATTAATGTTCTTATTATTTAATCCGATTCAGAGGTTCTCTATCAAATTAAACGGCGATCCGCGTTATCTAGACCGCGTTTTTATTCGCGCAACAATACGTACAACCTTTGACCAAACCAAATGAACCGAAAAACAACGTACCTCTGAGATTTTTCATGTGGGCTACGGCCATTCGCAAAATGGTCAACTTGTCCGGTTTTCTGGCCAACGCGCTGCATGTTGGTACCATATCCGACAACTCTGTAATATACGCCGTCATCTTATTCCGTCTCCGCCGTTCGATTTCGCAATGATTCTCCCTACAGTAAGTCGCAAAGAAAAGCCAACGGTCATTACAACATTTGTCACACCGCGTTCGTTCATCGACGCAAATGCGTTCTATATATAACGTTCGTTTTACACAAAACTCTCCCGTGAAAGACGAATATTCCGCTAAATCCGTTTGAAACAGAAAAGAAAACGGAACCAAATTGAATTGCGAGGTTGTGACGAGTCAACAAATCGCTGCTAGTGAACTACATGACATAAATGGCGGTGGTTCTCAGGGGCTCATTGCGGTTATCTTTTTAAGATTCAGTAATAATGGCTAACGTCCGCTGAAAACGACCCAACAAATTACGCGAGCCACGCCGTTACTTTATGACTTTGACCCATGAAAAATAAAGACCGATAATATCATCATCATTATCGTCATAGTGTCTAGGAATGGAAAATTGATATCCTGCAAAACTGGCGCAAACATTCGCGCAACTAAGAAATAATAATAATAATAATAATAATAATAAAGGCCTTTATTCAAAAAAGAAGGGCGAGATAACTGCAAGTCTGTTCTTACATCTAACCCAATCAAGAGGATGAACGCAAGAGCAAAATTACCATATAAGTTTTAACAAATTCAAAAAAGAAATTATAATAACACGAAAGACAAAAGCTAATAACTCGAATAATAATAAAGTGACACGTACGAACGACAAAGTTTTTGGTTACATAATCTGGAGGCGGTAGACAATTATTCAACAATTATATAAACATAAGGAAAATAAGGAATTTGACAACAACAAAAAAATTATACGTGTTAATATGGTTATAAAATGTTCGTTTTTTTTTTCATAGAATTTAACTGCCTCACCTTGTATTAAAATATCGAGTTTGAGCGTATTTTCAAAATCTTTTATTTCAATCTTCCTGCCAAATATCATTTATTTGGATTGAATTGCAAGGAGTGTTTTTTGGAGAATTCGTTTAAATTTTCAATATCATAATTAAGGGAATCAAGAGTTTGAATGCTTTCATCGGGACTAAACGACAGGTAAAGCTGCGTGTCATCAGCGTAAAAATGTTGGGTACATGACTGAAAAATAGAAGGGAAGTCCGACACATAGTTTGAAGAAAAGGAGGGGGCCTAGAATAGAACCTTGAGGTACACCGGCTGTAATATTTAATGAAATAGAAGTTTTTCCTGCATAAGTCACAACCTGTGATCTATGATCGAGATAATTTGCTATCAAAATGCGTCAGTCCTACATAGTTCAATATTGAATTCAAGATACTATGATTGAGAGTGTCAAATGCCTTACTATAATCTAACATAATAAGAGTTTTTAGTTTATTTTTATCTGTAGCCGATAGTAAATCATCAGTAATTGTTGCCAGAGCTGTGGAGCAGTTATGACCATTTTTCCACTCTGTTGGGAAAACAGAGTTTTTTAAACAAAAATGTATGACATGAGTAACATAAAGCAAGAGAAAAGGTACACACAATTTGATTGTTAAAATTTTAATATTATCTAATCCAATGGAAGTACTTTTGACACTTGAAATTATGGTAGGAACGTCATTTTCTGAGATTTCCGAGAAAGGAAGAGTAGAACGTACCGTATCCTTTAAATAATTATTATAGAAGCTTACTAGAAGTGTTTGAACACAAAAAAAAGAAAAAAGAAAAAAAAGCAAATAGCTTTCTACTGATACAAACACAAAATGAAATGAATAATAATAATAATAATAATAATAATAATAATAATAATAATAATAAAATAAGCGAAGAAAACTAAGCAATACACCTAACTCATCGTTTAAATTTAATTAACGCGATAATAACGAAAAAAAGAAAACGCAACCCCGTGGCGTTATTTGTAACAAATATTTTGCCTAGTACGTTCATAACAAAACAGAGGTGATTTGATTAATGTAGTTACTGCGAAATCATCGGCGTGTGAAATCATAAACTTACCGTTAGAATTAACGTTTAACGCTGAAACTCATGAATTTATTTTTTTTTTTAACGCGGCCATGACTTGTAAAAAACAACACACTCGTACACCTCCGCCGCGCATATGTAATTTCAAGAACTTCTTAAAGCCTTAAAAGCTCATTATGTTATTTGAAAATAAAACACACGAAAAACTACATGTATATGGAAATTGTTTTCGGGGGTCGACATATAAGTAGATGATAACGTCCCCCACAAATGTCGAGATACAAAAATCCTCTTGTCAGTTTTAATAAATTAACCATAGTCGTTTACGCGAGATACTTTACCTGATTGAATTTCGCAAAAAAAATGATCCATAAACTTATGCAAAAACGCGGCGATAGCGTGGGCCGTCTCTATATATACCCAAATCCCTGTCTAAATATATATTTTTTTATTATTGAAGCACTTTAAAATTCTACCAGCTTCTAGTGTAATCATAAATAATGACGTATTACGTAAATTTTCCAAATCTATCCACAACTAAAAAGTCCCATTCCGTTCAGTACGAAACCATGGGTCTGATACATAATTGCGATACGGTAATGAGGGGGTGCTTAGTACAAAATAATAGGAATTTGGCCGGGGGTGATTATGTGTCTCTCTGTAATCTCCGCTGCGGCGACTGAAGATCTATTAACTGATCTCTGGCCTTACTTTGAACATCCCGATGCGATGCCAGTGTCGTGCGCGGGTAACAATATTTATATAATCAATGATACGATAGAAATACTAAAATGATGTCGAACTTCCATTGTCTTTATTTTTAACTTACACAACGTTTCGCTACCCGTTATCAAGTGTAAACAATAATAAGATGCCGCTAAACAGTGGAAATGTAACGTAAGAATTGAAACCGAATTGTTATTATTGAAACTCAAATGACAAAAATTGGTCAAGCAACAAATTGTACGTGTTGACTATTAACAACATAATAAATAGGAAATTAGCATCAGGCATTACACTTAAAGATAGACTGCAATACCCTTCCAACTCAACCAAAAGAGTAAAAAAAATATTGCAGTCCAAAGTTTTTTTTTTGCTGTAATCCTTCGATGATGTTGATTTAGAAATGTTTAATCTTCAACGACAATTAAAAATCATATATATTGTTTTACGAATTACACTTTTATTGCTTTAAATCCGCCACTGATATCCGAGGTTCTCCAGTCTCACGTCTGTTGTCCCCCACATAATCATTGCGATTTAACCTTACCTCAATTCGACTCAATTATTGATTATTCACTTCAATTGTGTTATTTCCTAAGAGAATCGCACAATTATTACCGGCCCGGTGGACCCGCCGTGAAAACATGGTTTTAGTCTCGCAATAAATGTATGTGTGGGTGTGTGTGTGCATCAAATCGATTCCAAAATGTTTTTTTTTATCGCATCCCGTTATTAAAAAAAAAAGAAATAGGCCTCAATCCTTGAATTTATTGACCCGTTACGTTACGAATCGACCGCAAAAGAATTCGCCATGGATTTTGCCGTACTCCAATTCAGCGGAGTTTTTTTTTTTTAAATTAATTTCATAGAAACGTACAAGTTCATAACGTTTACGGTTCCGTAGCGCGATTTTCTACAGAATGTATACCGAAAGACCGCGTTAAATTGTGTACTTTACCGGCTGTTTTTACTCTCTCTCGCTCATCGAAACTCACCCGTTCACATTCGCAACAATCGAATCGACGAACGGTTATTGAATAAATCGCATTTGTACTTTACTGTTTAACGATAAAAAAAACCGAATCGGATTATTGACGATTAAAGGGAATAAAGGAGGTGTTATAATACGACCAAAAATATAGTGCACTTATTTTGCAGTACCTTAACCCCAGACCTTCACAGGACCGTCTTAAAACCCATCCCAACAGATGTTTATTCCGCATTAAGTAGATCTTGCCTGAGATGGACCGTAACGAATATTTGTGGAAATTTGAAATTTGAAAAAAATGTGCATATTTGCGCTTCCTTGGCCCGTGGCCGATATTAAAAGGGAGCATCCATCGAAAAGCGGACCGGCGGCGGCGTCCGAGCCGCCGGTCGTGTTCCCGAGCAGTCGTGACCGCCCGAGGGGGGCGCAGTGCTGGGACATAGAACGCGACCGTTCCCACGCTGCCGCCGAGCCGGAGGCCCCGCCCGCGCCCGCGCCCTCGCGGATCGACGGACACCTTTCGCTTCTCTTCTTCTTTCTTCGTTCGTAACGGCCCGCGAAACCGAAGCATCGCGCCCCGCAATCAGGGGGGAAAACCCATCTCGAATACGATAACTAAGTTCCCGATGCGCCAAGAAGAGAGCCGAGATGCAATAAAAACAGAGGAGAGGAAGGGTAATTGAAAGAGACCTGTCGAATGGAAATGATGATAATGAATGAATAAAGGAGAGGTGTAAAAGGTGATGACAAAAAGTACGATGAATAGAGAGAGTGACACAGGAGAGAGGGGGGAGAAACAGTGAGAGGAAGAGATGGAATGAAAGGGAAAAACGGAGGGTGGAGAGAGAAAAGGAGTAGAAACAGGAAAATATACGAAGAGAGGTGGGAGAAATATTGTGAGTAAAGCTGTGGAGAGAAAGAGAAGCCCTTAATACCCATTATTAGGGGAAAAGGTAACAAATTGTCCAATGCCACTTTTTATAATAATATATTTAGGAGGCGAAAGTTTCATCTGCAATTATTAGACTTACGATGAAGGAATGGAGGTCCTTGCCCATAGAAGGTTCTAGAAGTTGCTTCCTGCTACTATCTCATAAAGTTATATTTAAAATTTTAAAACAGTCATCTGTCGGCTTTATTTACATTTTTCATTGCGGTTAAACTTATAAGTTTATGAAAACAAACGCTTTGCGCCGATTTACACTTTAATTTTATCTGCCAAATATTGATTGATTTATTTCCTTAAAACCACTTGGCCACCGAAATGTCAACGAAATTTTTGCCGCAAAACGCGCGAACAGTTTAAAACTGTCAAAACGGGTTCGTGTGCCACTTCACCGTCGACATCTCTAAATTCGTGTCGAAATTCTTTCCGCAATTACGAACTATAACGTCGTAGAATTAGCATAACAGCTCATTATGATTCACGTAGGACGGTCGGAAAGCTTACATGACACGTTGATATAGATACTACGTACGGCCGCATTAAGTCGAAATAACAGAAAAAGAAAAAAAAGAAAACGAAATTTGAATATATCGGCCGAACATCGTGGGCTATTAATTTCAATGTTTTAACAAAATGAACCCGCAATTACGTAATTTTTAAAACTAGGGAGCCCGAAGAGCCAACATATTATTATGCACCGCGAATACGTTCCGTACATATTATCGGGAAGATCTTTTAAATCACTGTGGGAAAAAACTAAAAGTCCACCATATACAGGCAGCAATTTAAATCTTGTAGCTACATCGAATGGAGTACTTTCAGATCGTGGGAAATTGAAAAAAAAAAAACAAATTTGTATTTGATAAGTACGTCGCAATATTCGCGAAAATTGCGCGGCGGAGAGGCTTTTGTGCAAAACGAAAATTTTATTTGAAAGAATTGATAGATACCTTGCAAAACGTTCTTTGTCCTGAATACTATCGTCTTCCATTCTTGGATACTTGCTACCACTCGGGTCGTCTTCATCTGACCTGTAACAATATACACAATTTATTCCATTTTGCTTTAATAATCTGTTGAGCTAGAGAAAATGGGAAACAAGCGAGGCGCACATCTTATTTTTTATACGAATGACTCAAAATCTAGCATACCAAACTACGGAATTATGCAAATTTCCCGGAACTGTAAGAGAGAGATAAACACAAAGCGATGTACACCACCGCAAATTATTCATTAAATAAATTACACAACGACTAATACATTTTTCCAATCAACGAGCAGAAGTAATACATTTTTAGAACTCTTTTTCCACAACTATGATTTTATATTGTAGATCTGAACAAGAACCACAAAAATTGTTGAAAAATTCACAATCGATAGTCACTTCCGAACACAACGTGGTCTACTTTTAAAAAAGGTCATTCGTTAACCTTTTCAAAAATGAACAAAAAATGATCCTTTTTGCAGTCTCCATCCTTTTATAATTATTTTTAGTCGCACTATCCAATTTCCGTTCCCTGTTCGAGTACGTTTTACGACAAACCTTGCTACTTAATAAATGAGCGGGTCAACAATGAACCCCGATCATTTAAACAACAAAAAAGGAAAATCAGCGTGTTATATTGCCCGACTGTTTATTGGTTTTGTAACGGAGCAACAATAGACCGAGGCTATATGGATTTTCTAACCTACATAGTTCCGTAGAAAGTACAACTCCATCTACGAATTATGCGCTATTGAATAGTCGTAAAGTTTAAAATCTACACCTATTTTAAATACATCTTGATCTAGTTTGTGGCTGTATTCTCACGCCTACGTCGCATATAATTTCTGCAACTTATGCCCCTCACGAGGGAACGGCGGTTGTTTTTAAATTTCGAGCGATTTACGGTAACTTAAAAAATAACCGACTATCCGAAGGACAACAGTTACAGTTACGCGTAATGCAAACAATTATCAACAACGTATACTGTGACAGCTCGTGAAATTGAAGAAAATTCAATCTTTACCTTTTTCTAAACATAAAACACCCAACTTGTGGATAGTTTTTCTTCGAAACCCGAGCTTAATTGCGGTTTGGACATTTATTTAAAAAAAAAAAACAAAACCAAACCGTTTAACAAACAATTCGTTCCACGGTTGGTGCATTTACGATAGCCGTCCGTTTATTATTTTACATGCCAACGCAAACGAAAACCTATTTTTTTTTCTTAACCCACCAGAAATAATGGCAAAAAAAATATGATCACTTGTCCGAAATATATGCATACAGTTAGTTCTATCTCAACTCGAACTTATTCGCTATATATTTTGAGTTTGATAAATTACAATCTTATAACCATTAAAACAAATCATACCGAAATATAGCCAAAGTTGATCTTAATTGCCTCGGGTGCGAATTTTATTGTCGAAAAAGTAAATGAATTGCAGACTCAATGACGTATATTACTGGCATTTTGCATCTCCTTCACTATAAATACCAGACCTTCGTATATTTCGAAAGATAATAAGCTTGTTAATTTATTACCATTGTGTGGCATTTGCGTGTTCGTTTAACATTCGATTGAAAAAAAAAAAGAAAATTTCACTTTCCGATCATAAGGCTCTTTGCCGCCTGTAACTTAAAAAGGAAACATCTAAAATTTAAATTTGAAGTCTGGCCATGGCGACATTGTTTTCAAATATGCAACTACTCTTAAAGGGCCAAAAACTGCCATAAATTCGACTGTTTAATATGAACGTTCCCTGTAATAATATCAAAACCAGTGTGTAACAAATTACCCGCCAATAAATTTTTGAAATTTTACGCCGCCAAGCTGACCTGTTAAAGTGACCGTGTAAATATTAGTATCAAGTTACAACGTTTTCGATATCGAGTACAGGTTGTAATTTATATGACTAGCCATATATGCCACACTTTGTTTCTTCTTATTGACGCGGAAGCCATTGCACCGTTACAATGTTAAGGACTCGACTAAGAACGAAAAATAGACGGCGGATCTTTATTTATATTTAGTATTTTTTATGCAATATTTTTAGCCACGTTCTTTTGCACGAAGAGACTATAGTATGGTGAAACGTTTTTTAATTATTTTCAAGCTTTATGTATTTTAAAAAAAGATTTTTTTACCTATTTTTTCTTTAAATTACATCTAAATTACTTACAAAAAGTTAATTCAAAAATAATAACACAAAATATTCATTTATAAGTAACAAATTAAGTTACTGTTATAACATACATGTAGAATGAGACCCAAAATATATTTCGCTGCATCAAAACATTTTCTTCTGTCTTTGTACAATTCCAATTATTTTCTATTATTTTATTAACACTTCTAAAAAAGAAATAAATTTACCTAATCCGACCGTGTCTTTCGAAGTTTTCGGTAAATGGGGGAACATTATTAATTATTAACTTTAACTTAAAAGTCCCGCTTAGTGAGAAAATAAATTTGGTTGGAAATACAGGGTGGCTTCAAAAAGCACCGGGTTTACAATTAACAAAAGACGTTGGCCATATCTCCAAAACCGAGAGAAAATAGTAGTAAAATATTCGCTAGCAAAACGTTTTTAACAAAGTTTTCACGAACCAAACAGCTAAAATGCAAGTAATTTTAAAACAGCGGTAAGTTCGACGCTCTTTGCTTTATCTCTTTACGGAAACTGGCGGGGAGTGTACTAACGAGTTCGCAAATAATTATCAGCAACAATATACCTTAACGGATTTAAACAACACGGCACAAGAGGGCGTTTTCGTACATAGCTACAAATGAGTAATACAGCAATATGATTTATTTTTATAACACAGTGAGGGCCTAACACGAAAGTGAAAGCCGTATCTCGATATATCTTTTCTAATTTAAAACATGAGAGGACAAGAATTTAAAACTTTTGGACAAACAAATATAAATACCTTGTAAATTGTAATAAATACTGTTTTTGTCCATCATAAAAGTAAATATCTTTAGAAGTATTTTTATTGAGTTTTTGTTAATCGTTCTTATTCCTCACGTCTTTACGAGCTATAGTCATCGCCTCTTGTTAATTTTAAGCCAGATACATTTTGAAGACACCCTGTATGTTTAATATACAAATATTCTTGTAAATTGCAAATTTATTTTGGCATGAAGCGGGACTTGTTAAGAACAGGCGCGCATTAGGTTTGTAGATTGATATGGACATGGATCATAAAATAATTAATTTTATTTTTTTCCAACTTTAGGCAAGAATTTAAAGTTTAAAAGTCAATATTTGACTTTTGTTTTGCAAGAGTCTTTCTATGTTGATAATAAGAATTAAAAGATTTTTCTTACTCTATACTCTAAAATATTCGTGGGCTCGTATTAGAATCCAATATTATTCTCAGGGATTTCCGCTTTATTTCCTAAATATTGCCGTGTATTTCCTAATATTTCTCCGTATTTCCCCATATTTGCTCGTAAGTTCCCATAACAATGTAAGTATTTCATATTTGATTTCAATTGAAATTTTTGGTTTAAAAATAATTTCTTTTCTGTCAGCACCGATTAGGCAGGTCGTTAAACTCTCTCGACGAGATGACGTTGACATAATTTTATCGCGGGCTAGTTTTATAAGTGTTAAATAATCGATCGAATACTTTGGACCCGGTTCTCGAAATATCTGGCGATAGTAGTTGAGTAATCGAATGAAATTTTCGTTCGAATCTCAGCTCAACATTAGTACAGGCAGCGACCAGTCGAGAGAGCCGAAGGCATACGGCGGTCAGGTCAAATCGGATTCGTATCTCGCACAAGTTTGAGAAGCGCTGGTAACGTGAACGAGAACCCCCTTAACGCGGGCGGCCGCATACATTTTTTTCAAAATGGATAACCAAAGCCGAGGAGTCTTTGACCTGGCTTGAGGCCGTTACTTCATTGTTTTTCGGTGTCTAATAAATCAAACGAATATCCGCGGCCGTTCGAAACGCACACAACGCGAGCGTTGTCGTTTTTAACCTAATAGCGGCCAGCTCCGTCAAATCAAAATTTAATTATTACGAAGAATGTAGACTAATTTGGTCACTGATAAAGTTATTTTGGGTTAACTATCAAACAATTCCCCTATACAGTTCGGACGACGAAAACGAATACGATCCGGAACAATTAACGGGCAATAAAAACCGAACGGGTCCGGTACAGACAGACGAATGGTTTAACGCAAATGAACATTACGTTTCCGAACAAACGATAAACTGTTTTACGACGTAAATAAAATCTAGTTATTCGCGTTTTCTTATGGAACCGTAAGGTAATCAATTAAGTGATTACGATATGGCACGATGCCAAAATATAATATTACCATTGAAATTTTACAAAATCTAAGCGTTAGATACATACTTGTTATTTGAGATTAATTTTAATATTCGGAATAATAAATAACCGAGAGAGTCGAATTGATGTTTCGGTTTTTACATAACGCAACCTAACCATGAATGAAAATATGAATCAAATAATTGGCACAATTAATTTTTATTATACCACTCTTAATTTTCGTATTCAGTTTACAGGGCGTTGAACTTTATTTAAAAATTAACGTTTTTATAAATAAACCTGTCAATTTTTCACATATTTTGTTGAATCTTGGTGTGGTGTTAAAAATAAAAACTTCATACTAGAAAAAAAAGGGGCGTCTTGTACACCAAAATAGTCCTGTTTCTTTGGAGACGCTGGCCGTAAATACAGATTTTTGAAGTCCAAAGAGACTCAATATTATTTGGAGAAAGGCGTCAAGAAAGAAGACAGACAGAAGATCATAGAGCAGTAACGGATTCTTAAAAATAACCCGACGCTGCCTCCCCCAAAGATTAATGATGAAGTTGTGGATTGTTTGAATGACTCGACCAACAAAATAGATTTTTGGTTGGAGTTTGGTGAAAAGTTTGGGAAAAGTGTCGAGAACAAAAAAAATTAAAGAAGTCTGGTAATGAGTTGAAGAATAGGTTTTCCATCTATCTACACCTGTCCTTCAGGACCGTCTTCAGCCGGACCATCATCAACGACACCATCAACCT